GAAATACAAATGCAATCTGATAAAGTGCTTGGTTCACAGAGCAAGAGCAATTTGCTCGGATGAATGTCTTGATGAGGAACATAATAATATTAAATGGTTGATAAGTGAAAACGGTTATCCAGAAAAGTTTATTGATACGGGTATGAATCTAAAATCGAGGCAGCCCAAGGTACCAACAGTTCCTAAAAAGTCCTTATTCTTGCAAATGCAGTTCCTTGATGACAGTGTAGGCGAGATACTAACAAAATGCCTTAGAAATGAGGTAAAAGAGCATTCCCTGCTACCGAATTACGCTGTGTCTTCAAAACCACTTTTCGCCTCTTCCATGTGCATCTCCCAAATTAAACTACACCTCTGGAGTGAGCCACTTACGTGGGCTGTAAAACTAGGCGTGTTTCTTGTCGGATTTACGGACATCACTCTGCATAGTGGTTAAGTAAACGACAAACAAAATCTATTCTCATATCGCTATTCCATCTCTTCTTGTGGATACACAACACAAGATTAATGTTAACGAGGCATCTTTCAAAGTCGTTTACCGCATACCAACAAATCTAAACTCCATTTATTCGATCCCCTGCCAACGCACACCTGATGATATCTATGATCGGCCTGCGAAATTTGAGCTACCGATATCCATGCTGAAAATTCCATACTTGTACCAAAAATACAGTGTGGAATCAAGCTGTAATAAAAAAAACATAAAATAAAAAGAAGAAGCTAGTTCAGACATTTTCCTTACCCCACTTACCATCTAGGTTTGAATGATCCTTAATTACGGGTTGATCACGGATTGATATCAGTTAGAGAACCATTGAAAACCAGGGAGTACTGGACAGCTGCTGTTTCATCCTAGTTTGGGAATCATCGGCAGTACGCACCCACTGGGATTCTAACTGATATCAATCCGTGATCAACCCGTAAAACATAACTAATACTTACAAACCAAACTGTAGAGAGTTAATCTGATGCTCACTAGTGACTTGCTACAGGTTGGAGTTTCCTGATTTCTAGTGAGAAGTCGTGACCAGTGAGGTCCAATTAGATGTCACGTGTGTGGATGGATGTCCCGCCAACGACAATGGTTGGGGTCGCGCTAAATCACGAATTAGTAGAAGCTAGAATTCACGAGCCATTGAATCGGGTCCCAGTGGCTGAATGGTATACGAGCTTGCCTTGTAACCGGAAGGTCCCTGGTTCGAATCCCAGTGGGTGCGTACTGCCGATGATTCCCAAACTAGGATGAAACAGCAGCTGTCCAGTACTCCCTGGTTTTCAATGGTTCTCTAACTGATATCAATCCGTGATCAACCCGTAAAACATAACTAATCCTTACAAACCAAACTGTAGAAAGATCCTTAATTAGTTGTGAAAATTTCCCTAATTTTATTTGATATTCCATTTGCTATTATATCTTTACTATTATCACTATAATTTATGCACCTGTAATGGACCGTAATTCCATTGATGTCACTTCACAGATCGATACTGTTTAAAGAAAATACGAATATTGTTATTGACTACTATTCTAGAATATTCTGTGTATTATAAACATGCATATATAATTGTACAGTCAGAAGAGGAAATTATCGATCGAAAAGGATATTCTTTGCTCAATTATTTTGTGTTTTATACACCTTATCTCTGTTTAAAATGGAACTTTCTGGGTATAAACTATATAAGGGTAATTTTCTGAAAAGTGTTCATCAAGTTATGAATCTCCTGTCAACTGATATCATGTATGTTAAAAATTGTTCGGTACATAAACTCAATAATTAACTTTAGACTGTATGCAGCTGATGAGAAGCCAATGAAATAAGCACTGATGGTAACATCTTATTCTGCACAAAACACACTGTTGTTCTTGCTTTATTCAAACATCCCAAGTGATTGGTGAATATTTTGCAATGAACCATCATCACTACTGACTATCCAATTCTATAAGACGTTAACTCTCGTCTGAATGAGTTGATAATTGACTCATAAAGATTGAATACTCTCGGAGGAATTCATTTCCTTTAGGGTACACTTTGTGGATTTGTAATTAACTCGTGCTAAATGGTATACCAAAGAAAGATAAAGTGTAAAAGAAGGTTGCAGTACCTTACTTAATAGTCAAATATTATTAAGGTGTGAATATTCCAGGTAGCTCGGCTAATAATCACCATATTTTATACTTGATCGGAAAAAATGCAACAGCCGCGGTCGAGTGTATAAACAATATGACGTTAGTTCAATCCCAGTGACAAATCAACGTTTCAACTCTCTCAAAATTCATCATACTTTTATTTCCGGACAATAAAACAGTAACAACTTGTTTTAATTGAATTTCGATCTCCCACCATGACTGATTTATTTTTGAACGAAGCGTTCAGTCTCTTTTGATATGTCAACTTCTAGTGACGGAGGGACGCTTTGATAACGTCTCAGGATTAACATAATATTATTTGGTGGGTGGTGATGACACATATAAACTCACTAGTAGAGTGAATATACTTCACATTTGAATCGGAAAATGAACAAGGCGAATTAGCTATGGTGTTAGGCTGCAAAATAAAATGAATAGAAGAAGGCAAACTACACACTAGTGTTTATAGAAAACCAGTGCATTCTAATAGATATTTAGACTCGAATTCATCTCATCCGTTCGTTGCCTGTAAAGGCTGGCTTAGTTAAGTGTCTGCCTAACAAACCGAGCGGTAGCACTAAGTAGTACAAGAAAAGACCTAAATGATGAAATGAAACAGAGAGAAGAAGAGGCATCGGTGTTGAATAACTATCCTATAAAATTCATTAGGAAGATCAAAAAAGGTCAAAAGCAAAATAAAAATAATTGTCAAACTAGTAACGATAACATAGATGAGAAAGAACATAAGTCATCTACAGTCATACCATATAAAGCGGGAATATCTGAGACACTACGTAGGATTCTAAATAAAGCAGGAATTAGGGTGATGGCATTCAAACCTACAAACTCACTCAGGAAGGGACAAGCTCTGTAGGCTAAAAGACCTGGTGGACCCAATTAGACAAAATAATATAATTTACAAAATACCCTGCAATGACTGTGAGTGAGGTCAACTATATTGGCCAAACTAGTAGATCAGGGGTAATTAGATTGTAGAAACATAAGAATTTAGCTAAAATAAGAATAATTGACCCCATCCGTGAAGATAAGTAATTTAGAAAAAAGCTCAGCGATTCCACTGCGTGCATTAACACACAATTACACATTAGGGTGGGAGAGGGTTAAAATTCTAAGGAGTAATATAAATGGGCGGAGAGAGAGAGAGAGTGAGCTTGATTACTGAATCTTTGTTCATCGGGTCTACACTCAACACAACACATGCAATAGAATTGACTCAACGCAAATACCACAGACATGGAAGATATTATTACCACCAGTCAGTCAGTCAAATCAGAAGAGGATAATAAATAATCTTAAATTGTATTCTATTTCAATTCAATTCACGTACATCATAACATTCTAACAAGTTACTTATTTATCTTGACTATAAAAACACTCGTCTTATTTCCCATCTGATTGTATTTGATTGATAACACTCATATTATTATTTCTGAATCTACATTATCCTATATATTGATTTTTATTCAAATATCTAGTCAATTCGAAACATGTATATAAATGAAGCAAGAAAGTTGTGTGAGTGAGTGACTTGATATGATTATGGGTGGCAATAATTTGTGCTCGAAACGTGGTTATCAGTTAATATTACTGTATACAACACTGTGTGATTTATCAAAATAAAGTCTTAGCCACAATGGAGTTATACTCTACCATCACAGTACCCAACTTTTACACTTATATCAATGACTAACAATGGAATTCACGATGTCCACTACGTGCTATTGCATTTAAAATGATGGCTGCCCGGTTTGAATCCCAGTGGAGACACATCTACATGATGAGACCTAAGTAGGACGAAGGGTATATTATGAATTTCATTAATTGACACAAGCAATCATATGAAAACAGTTCAATATAGCAAAAACATTCATCCAGACATCTAAAAAAAACGCAAAATAATTGAGCGAAGAATATCCTTTTCGATCGATAATTTCCTCTTCCGGCTCTACAATTATATATCTATATGTTTACGTACATAGAATATTCAAGAATAGTAGTCCATAACAATATTGGTGTTTTTTTTAAAATAATATCGATTTGTGAAGTAAGATCACAATGGAATTACAGTTCATTGAAGATGCTTAAATTATGATAATAATAATAATAATAATAATAATAATAATAAGGATATAATAGCGAGTTAAGTTCGTCGGTGGCGCAGCGGTTAGGATGCTCGCCGACCATGCTTATGGTCCGGGGTTCGATCCCCGGTCGGCGCACTCCTTTACCTCACTCAGTGAAGACGAAAAGTTGGGCATGGGGCTAGCAACCCCATCCTGTAAAATTAAACACTGCTACAGAAACTTCAAGTCACTAGCTTGAAGCCCTATGTTCCAGCGCTGGGAACGTGAAGGAAGAATTATTATTATAGAATAGCGAATTAAATGTCAACTAAAATTAAGGAAATTACTACAAAAAGTTAAGGATCATTTGAACCTAGATGGCTAACGGGGTTAGGACAATGTCTGAACTAGCTTCTTCTTCTTTCGGACACATAAATTAGACTTCTTAATGTAAATCTCAATGGCCAGTCTCAATAATATTTAGTAGATGAACTCTCAAGGCGAAGTTAAGATTTGTCGGTTGGTATGCGGCAAATGACTTTGAAAGCTGCCTCGTTGACATGAATCTTGTGTTCTATATCCACAAGATGAGATAGAATAGCGCTGTGTAAATAGATTTTGCTTGTCCTTCCTTTACTTAATCAACCAATATTCAAGGGGTGATGTTCTGAAGTCCGACAGTTCAGTTAGACAGCCAGTTTGGTAATTAATTCACTTTAAATTTCTCATATATACATTCAAACAAAAATTGATCATTGAACATCATCATAATTGTTATATAAACTAACCTTGTATCTGATAATTTATCATTTACTAACTGGTGTACAACTTTAATTAACCGCTCAATACCATCACTTCCTAGCCGTTTGAACAGTATTGCATTCTTTTTACCAGTTTGTAATTTATTACAAAATATATAAGTTAACATTTTACCAATGGCATTACGACGTATATTACTACGTGAAATGCTTTCCCACACATGTGTACACATTGATTGGATAGCGGTTACTTCATCTATACAAGATATGTAAGTTTCCAGTGTCTTGTTTGCTTCATTCTGTAAAAATTTTGTACTTGAATCTTCACTAATTCGACTTAACAGTGTGGTGATTATCGGTGTTGAATAGGCATCAAGTAGACAACCTTGATGGACACATTTTAAATAATCGCATAATTGATGGAGTGTTTTTAAACCATTACGACACACCTGTTAGAAGTATTGAACATTTAACAATAGAAATAAATACATATTCGCAAAAACTATATATATACGATAGTAAATTAAGGTTTCTTTTCCATTCCTCTATGTTCCGTGTGGAATATAGGCTTGCAAGCTATGAAGTTTCGGTACAGGAGGTGTTATTTCTTTCAGGGTATGTGATTTCTAACTTCTCATTCGGTTATCGCTCTTTTCTGGGCTTACTACGCCTAGACGAGGTTCAGAAGTGTACTGGCCGGCCGAGAATCGAACTCTGATTACTTCCATGGTTGGCGAGTATTCTCCTATTTAAGCCATCGAATAAATGGCAACCACATTAGTTTAGAAAATCAAAACAAGTGGTGATTCAGAGAAGAGAGTCTTTTCAACAACCAATTTATTATCAAGCTGTACAACCGTATATATATTATATATTATATATATATATAAGGTTTTTAAGAAGTTATATTCGGTGAGGGAAGTGAATCAAAGGTGCGAATACATGAAATAATAATAGTATGAAATGCAATTGAAACTGAAATGTTTGTGATTATAATCATAGGTAAATGTCAAGTGGAAAAACAGTCTGTGTCATATATAGAATAATTCATAGGATGGATAGAACTTGAAAAAGGCTGTGCAATTATAGGATTAGTAGAAAAATCGTATAAAATAAAAACGTTACGCAACATTGTGTGAGATTTTGTAGTATACAATTTATCGTTGTAAAAAAGAAGAATTGATTTAGAATGACAAGTGGTACAAGTGAAATAATACCGGGGACAGTTCAAAGTGAGAATAGTAATAGTAACTATTGACGTAATAAAGGAAGAGTATACAAATTCAATAGACAAAATGAAAAAATTGGTAGAGCTAAAATATGATAAGGGATTACCACACTTAAGCATAGAGGGATTACGACCATGAAAGTTGGAGGGGTTGAACGAACTTTTTTCTGTACACAGAGATGTGGCTTTTCTGTTTCGATAGCCAAAGATGGCTTCAGCAATACAGATGAGTCGGGTACTTAGGGATTTGGGTAAATTACTCTTTGCCTTGTAGATGACTTTAAAGGCGGAGGCTGTAGGGATAGGGTGATCATTATCGACCAGATATTCAATGATCGCGCTTCTTATTGCTCCACTTCAACCTCTTCGTAACAACCATGCAGGATAGTGTTCTTGCACCCTCTTGGACAAAACTCGAGTAGAACAACCCACATATCCAGCTCCATACGAGTAGGTGAATTGATAAACGCGCATAGAGTTGGTCAACAGCAGGATATTGTCCTTCAGGTTATTGAACAATAATGGTCGGCTAGTAAAAGCTATTCTCAGAGAGGCAGCAGGGAATGTTCTTTTCAAGGACTGTGATATCCTTCGTTTCATGATATCGGAAGCTAAGTCCCCTTTGAATTCTAAGCTCATGTAAAGTATTTTCTTGGGAGCGGTTGATAAGTCACGTTTTGTAGGCTTTGAATGTATATTCTTATCTATAAAACGTGGTGGAAATCCATTTTCCATTAGGATTTTCCTCAAAGTGTATAACTCATCTTCCATAGTATCAGTGCTACATATGCGTCGAATACGAGTGGCAAGCGACCGGACCAGGTTTCGTTTTTCACCAATGAGTACCCAGCTGTAGAGATTTGTCAGCTGATCATTCCATGACAGCTTTGAATAAATCAATCTCTTCAGAATTCCATCGGTCCTCCTTGATAAGTTCACATTAGAATAGTCATGATGTAATTATATATTATTATTATTAATATTTTTCCCTTGGGTTCAGAGCAGAATGCAGGCCTTCAACAACATATCTCCACTTTGTCACATTCTCTGTTATTATCTTTAGTTGGCCTCACGATTGCCCATAATCTCTTATCTTCTACCCTCACAATCCCTTCTATGTAACCCTCGCAGCTACGTCCAATTGGTCGTTTTCCGTTTGGGTTTTATTTGAACAATGGATTGGCGCGTAATATTATCGGATAGTCTTCTTAGCATGTGCCCAACTCTTCTCCATTCTCTTCGGGATATCTGGTGAGCGATAAGTTCTTAGTTGGTTTTTTACGAAGAGTTTCCTGCCGCCAATTCTTTCTCGCCATTTGGTGTTCAGTATGGAAACAGCGGAAGCCTATCCCAAATGTTTTTGGTGATGTGTAAGCCGAATTTCTGACCTATATGGAAGGATTGATTGATTGATTCCACATTGGTGTTGAAAATTCAAATTTTGTCCTTTATTCTGAGTTCAGCAGATTTACAAACGGATTTCAGAGTGGGGAAGATGTAACTTACCTTTCCTCTTCTGCCTTTGACATCTTCATTTGTTTTAAGAGTTGATCACGGATTGATATCAGTTAGAGAACCATTGAAAACCAGGGAGTACTGGACAGCTGCTGTTTCATCCTAGTTTGGGAATCATCGGCAGTACGCACCTCACAACAGGGGGTTCAAACCCAGGACCTTCCGGTTACAAGGTGAGCTCGTATACCATTCAGCCACTGGGACCCGATTCAATGGCTCGTGAATTCTAACTTCTACCAATTCGTGATTTAGCGCGACCCCAACCATTGTCGTTGGTGGGACATCCATCCACACACGTGGCATCTAATTGGACCTCACTGGTCACGACTTCTCACTAGAACTCAGGAAACTCCAACCTGTAGCAAGTCACTAGCGAGCATCTTCATTTGTACCATCCGTTTGTAATTAAAACGATGCTTCCCTGCAAATAATTGAAGGGAGTAACCTCTTTCAAATTACTTTGTTTGATAGCGATTGGTTCTGGTTGTTGTCACTTGGTTATCCTCACCACCTCCGCGTTCTCTATGTTCACCTTAGCCCGTCTTTACTGTTTCTTCAACCAATTTGTTGATTTCCACCCATTTGTGTAACATCAGATATATATCATCCTCTAAAAACATATCTCCTAGAGTCTTTCTTTGGGTACAGCATATTCCTGTCTTCTCGCCATCCACAGTCTGACGCATAATCTAGTCTACCACAATTAGGAATATCATAAGTGATGATGGGCAAGCCTGCGTCATGATATTAATAGTTCTCAAGCATCAGCCTCTAAGGTCGAATCTAACAGAATGCTCCTTTTCAGTTATTCTCTCCTAGTTATTGTGTCTTATTTTGAAGTTAAAGGAGATGCATAGGCTTTCCAAATAATAATCACAAGGCCCTCAAGAAGAAGTGACGGGTTTGGAATGTGACCGACGGAGATCATGTAATGAGGAGGAGATGAAATCTTGTGAACAGTTGTGGAGTCAATTGAAAGTGACAGCAAAAAACAGAGTTGAATGGAAATATACCATTGTACCCCCACCCATCTTCCACTAGGAACGCAATCAATAAATACACCCAAGTAATGATACTAGTTAGTTGGGGGCGATCGGCCGTAGGAAGCCTAACATGACCTAGGTTTCGTGCTAGTTGGGACTCATCACTAAGGCGTATTTGCAACCCTGAAGGAACTAATGTTCCCAATGATGCAGTCAGAGACGTTACCACTGAGCTATTTGGGCTCGCGATTGACCTCTTGTAGGGCTGCAGTGGGTAATTTGATTGGACACTAGTAACTAGTGTGACGTGTCTAGTCCTCCTTTCTTTGATGCAGACTGAATTCTATCAGTCAGGTTTGCAATGTGGCGACCGTGCCACTAGGTAGCTCGCCGTCACAGTGCACATTGATTTCATGATATTAGATAGTTGGAGGAAATCGGCAGGAATCCTTGGACCAGAAATTGACTAGACACGTCACACTAGTTACTAGTGTCCATTCAAAGTACACCCAAGTAATATTATTCAGGTGAAGTGGAGTGAATAATGCTCCATACTACTGATTCATTGATTTAAGTAGTTGGATATCACACACACACATCAACCAACTGTGCTTGTTAGCAAGACGATATAAGTGGCCTAACTACTAGGTGAGTGTCTCGCTAGTTTTCAGAATGGGTTCGTCATCTGTGTACCTTGTCTGACTCGGCTCAAACTGTTGAATCAGTTCAAACCACAGGAACTCTGACTAGCTACTTAGACAAACTGGTATCACATTCACAATTTTAATGCTAGCGAACTACACGTCTCATTCTCTACACGACCGATGGTAATTCCTCGACTGAAAGATGAAGTACCTAGACTGGCTAGTCATTTATAATTGTACCAACCAATTCAACGGCGCTTGTGGTGGAGCGAGTTATATTGGCCATTGCTCTAGGAACTTGATTTTTCGCGCTCTTTTGGGAACATCTCCCACTATGGCTAAGTAAAGGTGTAGTGAAAACCATCATCAACAGTTCGATATTGGACCATCTGGTGCAAACCGGCCGGCCACAAAGTCAGCCAGCAGTGAAGAGTCCTTCTCTATCATTTACCGCGTGCCTAATAAATTGCCAAAATCATCGAAGCACCGCATGCTGCAAACACCAGAGACTATTACAATTCGCCTGTGTGCAAAAGAAACAAGTCCAGCCAGCGACTACCGCTGCCCTGGTCGACCTTCAGTGGGAACTATAAACTCATGAACTTGTATTATTATCATTCCTAATTTTTCTGACGTTCAGTTTATTGTTATGTTGATGCTATTGAACTGTAATCTATTTATATTATTATTATTGATTCGATGTTATTTAAACAGCGACATTAATGTTGTTCATAACACTAATTCATTCATTCACTATACTTTATATATAACTGTAGAGCCTGATGATGAAGGGGTTATCGAAATAAGTATTCTTTCTTCAGTAACCATTCTTTTGAAAAGATTTTAATGGCCATCTTCAACCAATTAAGTATTAGAATCTATTTTTCTATAGTTTGGTTTGTAAGGGTTGGTTTTATTTTAAGAGTTTATCATGAATTGATATCAGTGGGTGCGTACTGTCAATGATTCCCAAACTAGGCTGATGAAACAGCTGTCTAGTACTCCCTGGTTTTCAATGGTTCTCTAACTGACATCAATCCGTGATCAACTGATAAATAAACAGATCTAATCCTTACAAACCAAACTATAGAAAATTAATCTGATGCTCGCTAGTGACTTACTACAGGATGGAGTTTTCTGGACTTCTAGTGAGAAGTCGTGTCCAGTGAGGATGGATGTCCCACCAACAACAGTAGTTGGAGTCACGCTAAATCAAGAATTGGTAGAAGTTAGAATTCATGAGTCACTGAATCGGGTCCCAGTGGCTGAATGGTATACAAGCTCACCTTGTAACCGGAAGGTCCTGGGTTTGAACCCCCTATTGTGGGGTGCGTACTGCTGATGATTCCCAAATTAGAATTTATGTTAAAAATGCTTGGAACTTATGTGAGTACCTTAAGATGATTATGAGGAATAAATTGTGGTCGAAATATCGTCAGCAAGCGATACTTTATTACTCTACGGAGTTTTTTTCTTCCAAACAGAGGCATTTTATGATAATTGTAGACTGTCTGTCTGGGTTCATCAAGACGCCAACAATCAATGTCTGGATACTCTTGATGATATGTCTGAGAATCTTCCTAAAAAGGTGAAAGGGGTTTAACTTTTTATCACTGAGCAGATATATTTTAGTCTCTTTGCCTTTCTTCTCTTCCCTTAGTGTGCCTTCATAAAACATGGCACTTTGAGCAAATAAATTTTAATACTCAGTTCTGAGTTGATAATTCACTTCAGTCGTTTTAATTCGACGTAATAACTGAGCATAAACTGCAGAAGTATTATCTTTCCACTTATATGCTTAGGAATATTTTTCTAAATAAATATTGACTGTTATGCGGGGGATAGAACCTGTTAGATGTTTCTTACATTTATTCCTCTTAATGAATTTAAACAAAGCAAGAACTACAGTTTTAGCAAAATAAAGTGGTACCATCATTGTTTATTTCGTTGCCTTCTCATCAGCTTCACGCTTACAGGCCAAAGACATTATTAAATATGTCTACAGAAACAATTTTAACATACTTCCACAGAGTTCATTTTAAACAAAAATCAATTGATCAATATATGCATACAATAATATATATATATATATGCAATGTTAAACACTATTCCGAACAATAGTGATCATACACGATGGAAACTTTCGACATTACGTATTCAGATGAAAGAGAAGTGAAAATATCCAGTTACTAGGTTGGGCAAAGAAAGACTGATAACCGCTTCTTTCTGAACGCGTAAATCAAGTTTCAGGCACTTGATGGAGATGGCTTCAGTAAACTTGAGGAGAACTGAACACTTTCGCCTACTGATAATTCTGAACGATCTTGCGATGTCCACCTGATGACCCGTGTCAAGGAGATGCCTGGCAACCGCACTGTTTAACGCATTTGTTCCCTTCAGACATAGGCAAAAGAGCTCAATACTCCTCAAGTTTGCTGAAGCCATCTCCATCAAGTGCCTGAAACCTGATTTGTGCGTTCAGAAAGAAACAGTTATCAGTCTTTCTTTGCCCTGGTAAATGGATATTTTCATCTCTATTTCATCTGAATGCATAATGCTGAAAAGTTTCCATTGTGTATGATCTCTTTTGTTCGGAATAGTGTTTAATATTGCATAAATATATATATTTAGTGTATGCGTATATTGATCGATTGATTTTTGTTTAAAATGAACTCTGTGGAAGTATGTTAAAATTGTTTCTGTAGACGTATTTAATAATATCTTTAGCCTGTAAGCAGCTGACGAGAAAGCAACGAAATAAAAGATGGTACCATTTTATTCTGCAAAAACTGTACTTCTTGCTTTGTTCAAAAACGTGTTAGATGGTTGGAAGCTCTGGAACTAGGCCTCGTGGCTGTTAGTGCTCGTCACCATGCCATATCTGCGATATTGAGGGGGCGGATATCCTCTCAGAGATTCGAATCCGTCTTACCCAGAGCTGCAGTCACAGATATTAGCACTAGGTCACTAGGAAGTATCTAGTGTTACTTATCTGGTCCTTGTTGTTGGTAGGACATTGATTTCTATCGGCCACATCTTCAAGGTGGTCACCAAGTCAGGGGACTTGCTATCGAGACGATCAAAATTTATTATCTGCGCAAAATATATTACTTTCACTTACTTGTGAACGTAAACACCTGATAGATTTTTCAATCCCATTAATTAATATACTTCTTTGTTTTATATCACTGAATATAACTTCTAATGGTTTAACATTCATTGTTTTAAGTAAACTTTGTATAATATTTGTAGCTTTATTCTGATCTTCCCAATTATCTGATGTTAAATATTCAATAATTTGTTCTTCGATTTTTTTAAATTGTTCCACTTCAATTGGTGTTGATAATGTTCTAGCCTTTTTGATTTTTCGACTATTTGGTATTTTCTTTTCAATCTTTGAATTACTCGTATATCTTTCTTGATAGGATTCTGGGTAGCGTGTTGATTTTTTATGTCCTGAAAGTTTTTGTTTGTTTAAACTAAAAATGATAAGATAAAATATTGAGCGGAATGTTTAAAATTCTATTAGATACATATGATTACTTTATAAAAGAAGCCTGGAATCTTCAATATATATTAAATATTTCCATAGTGAAGTTTAAAACAACACATTTAAGTGAACAATATTGTGTTTTCAATTAGATCTCATCAGGTTTAACTCTAATCTTTATAAGTTTATAAATAAAAATTCAAATATAAACCAATCATGGTGATTTGTCCATAGGATAATAAGATGGTGAGTATAAATTGTGCAATTAGACAAAATAGTAATAATAATAATAGTAATAATAATTATAATGGTCTTATCGATAATAAGGATGAAAAAGTGAGGCAATCTGTGATAACATGAATAATGAAAAACAGCATGATTAAACAAACAACTGTTCAGGTGGAAGTAGTCTATAAAGGCTGGTAAAAACAAATGAACCGATTACGTAATGTTAGATTGTAGGGGAAGGAAATGAAACACGTTTATAATGAAGATGTGATAAGAATAAGGGATGATAAGAGAGGAGTTAAAAATATAAGTAAGTAAGGGGTGGTGTAGAAGTCATTAGTTGGTTATGTCTTGATAGGCCAACCAGGGAGGTTGATGGCTGTACGAGCTTCTTTTGAATGCATAGTTTAGGTTTAATAGTTCGAATGTCTATCTCCTCGTCTGTTTGCAGTAGACGAATACGAAGTCTATTGGAAAGATTCGGTGGGATACAATGAATTACTTTGAAAGCTCTCGTTTTCTCCATTACATGACCACTATCAATTAAATGTGACAGAATTGGGCTACAGATTGCTTTTGTCTGTCCTTTGCCAAACCACCACGATGGGAGATGTTCACTAACACATTGGTTAGGCTGTCTAGTAGTACGCCCAAAATAACTGTCACCGCAGGTGCAGTTGATTTGATAAATACTCACAGATGTGGCGAAACTATCAAGCTTATCCTTCGTTTGCGTCCCAATCATTCGTCAGCTAGAGAATGACAAACATAGGTGTGCTGCGTAAAACTTTCTTTGAATACTCTTGGAAAGTCTCTGGAATTAAATCTCACTTGACAAATAGCCATTAAATTGTAACGTAATAAATAGAGATTTTTTTACGTGCAGTCATAGTCTCAGGTTGTTTCTCTGATGTTTTCATATGTTTCTACCAAACATAGGTATTTCTTGATGAGTGTAGACTGTCTCTCTGCGTTCGTTAAGACAATAAGAACCGGTGTCTGGATACTGTGTGTTCGTGACATGGCTCTGAATCTTTCTAAAAACACGCAGATTTATTGATTTTGTATCATCGTCCAGATTTATCATCAAACTATATTCGGAAGCTAGTGGAGATTCGTGTCTACTTTTTAAAGATTCTATTTCATAAGCAACAATGATTTTCAGATCTTCCCTATCTTTATATTGATTAAATTGGGAATGAAATCAAGAAGTTGTCGGTGGGGGTGGATCACTTACAGGTTTTAGATAAGATTTAAGGAAGAGAAGTATAAAGCAAAGAGAAAACTTAGGTTACATGCAGTCTGCTATCGATTTCTAACAGTAAAAGGCTAGATTCACTATCCTGTCAAATTCACATTAGCCTTGATCAATAAAATTTGATCACGAATTAAGAGTAGACAGTGACAGTATTGATTATTCTGTAGCTAGTTCATTTATTAAAATCAATATATTTTAAAGTCATCGCTTATTCAAACATCAAGTTCTCTATGGAATATGAAATCAGAAATCAACTACATAGAAAGAAAAGAAGACGGAACAATAAGAAAAGGAGAATTCTCTGTAAAGTAACTTGAAGTGGTCAATACCTAAACTTCAGTAGCTTCTCTGCTATAAGCTACATAAGAGATTTAGTAAGGATAGTATGTGATAGATCAGAAAAACTTTACTTCAAAAAAAAACAACTTTAGAAAACCAAATCAGTCTCACCAATGTGTGTACTGCAAATGTGTAAGTTAGAGTACAGTACTGTCGAGAAGAAACCAGTTTTTCAACCAGCACTTTTGGATGTGGTCAGAGCTGTCTGCAAGACGAAAGTTTAGATACCAACTGACGTCAGTGTTTACATTCCAAATAAGGGTTGTGAGGAAAAACAAGAATAAAGCACAACTTGGAGGAATTCAACAACCAGTCGCAGTAGACTTAACGTGTGTAAATACGATTCGCAGCTATATATATATGGACTGTCTAAGAAGCGGCAACAAAGAGACAACAGAATAACCTTCAGCAGGATAACAACCAATCAGAAGACTTTTTTTCTCTACTAGTAATAACGAATAATAATATACATAAAAATCGATAAACATCTGTTGATTTTCTCAATAAACGATCTGCTGCTTGGCCCTCGTCTTCTGTCGTTGCATGGACACGTGCTCAAGAGTCCATATCTAAGCGATTTAGTCTCGTCCAACAGCTGCATAGCTCAGTGCTTGGCTTATAAAGGATACTAAATCGACGCATCAAAAGCTTTTAAGGTGGTAAACAGACAAAGTGTTGTACGACAACTTCGAGTTGTGGAAGATGTCGCCGATGTCTGAAGAATGAGATGTGAATTATACCTTCAAACAGAGACTCTTACTAACCTATTACTATGTTCAGAAGCATTGAATGTTTTAACTTATTCGTTGAAATTTCACTTCATTTTATAGAATAATATGATATACATACCCATCTACCTCCTTACTAATGCTACTAGAATCTCTTTCGTCTTGTCTGATTACGTAACCATCGCAACTAATGTGTGTATCACCATTAGACTCCAGGACATTCTTCTACTCACATCAACAGAATATCTCCATAAAGGTGGTGAAAACCTTATGAAATGAAATCATATTAGTATCAAGTATTAGTTTTTAGGTACTTGATTGATTGGTTACAGGAATTCATCCTGAACTGACATCAGTCAAAGAAGCACTGTAAAACCTGGGAGTACTGGACAGCTGTTTCGCCTCCTTGCTTCGAGACTCTTCATCTGTATGCACCCACCAAAGGGGGTTCGAATCCACGATGTTCTGATTACAAGACAACCGAGCTCGTTGACCATTCATCAGCCAGTGGGACCCGATGAAGAGTCCCAAACTAGGATGAAACAGCTGTCCAGTACACCCAGGTGGTTTTCCGATGTTTCTCTAACCTTTGTCAGCTCATGATGAAATCCTGTAACCAATGAAATTATATGATCCTACAAAAACTTCTTATTGTCCTTTTCAAATACGAAGTGTCTTCATTATCGTTGTCACCCCTTGGGCTTCTAAGTGGAATATACAGATTCAGCAGCAAATCTTCAATGCACTCAATTCCCTAATGGCTCCGCAACATTGGCTGTAATTTTTATATTTCCCTCTCATCACAGTATCTTCTCCATGTGTCACTCTCGGGAACACCTAACTTGTTGTCTCCGATTAGGCTTTGACGCGACGGCTGCTTGGTGTGTGGTGTCGCTGAAAAGTCTCTTCAGCGTATTTCCAGTTGATTTCCATGTCCCGAGCAATCATGCTAACATCACTGTTGCAGAAGGTTTGAAAAGAAGCAAGGCTACCTTGTCAAACTGCAACCTAAATCTACTGAAGGACCGGAGGAGAAATGTGCTGCTCTTTAACCCAAGCAAAATATTAGGCCACATCATCCTGCAAAAAGAATAAACTAAGCCTTAGATGAAAGGTTTTGTCCAGAACAGATCGGGTTCAGGAAAAACAAGTAATGAGCAGCCAAAAATTACAACACGGTACCTCGTTATCAAACAGCGAATAGAAATACAGTTAACGTTGTAGCTCGACTTGTTCATTTTGAAAAGATTTTCGATAGCATCAACTGTGAACAAATTAGTTAAGGATTTTAACAGTATGGAGTGCAGTGCTATAAACATTTATGAACCTCATTCAACACATTTATGACGTAGATGATGCTATAGAACAAGTAATTCACAACGGATAGGTCATTGGGGCGTTTTAAATGAAGACAGAAGTAAGCAGAGGTTGCCTACCATTACTGATGACCTTCTGAAGTGTGATAAACTGGATCGTGCAGTCCAGAGTGGGTAGTGAGGAGACAGGCATGTTTGCCAGAAATTCTAAACGAATCCCATACAGACATTGGACAACCGCATCCAAAGGACCTTAAACAAGCTCATCAAAACTGGACAGATCACAAAACAAGACCAATGGGGACCAGTCCTATTCCGATTCTATGGCAGACCCGAAATACACAAGCTAAATGTCCCGTTACGACCAATTGTATCACTCCCAGGAACTCCAACATATAATTTATCCAAGGAATTACACAACGAATTATAGGAAATCAACTCACACAGACCAAATACTGAATTACAACAGCAACAATCCAATAACACACAAAAGGAATTGCATACAAACACTATTCAAGGGGACCAGCCAGGACTCATTATAGCACTCCCAGATTAAGGAAAATTGAAGAAAAATATCTCATGGACGTCTTCCAAAAGAATTGACATCCACGAAATTCCATCAAAAGACATATACCCCCAAGCCGCCAACCTATCAAACCAAAAGCCCCCGAAAGAAAGTACAGAGAAAACCGCCCTACCATATATATTAAGGATATCTCAGAAATCACTGCAAGACTCTTCAAACCTCTAGGAATTGACGTTGCACACAAACCAACAAAATCACTTCACTCAGCCAGCTCTGTGTCAACCAAAAGACTCAACAACGAAAGAAGATAAAACCAACATCATTTACAAAAATAAGTTGTAACAACTTCGAAAAACATTACATTGGCCAAAGTGGACGTCCTCTTCGTCTTCGTATCCATGAGCATAAGCTAGTCGTTAGAAGATATGACATCAACTCCATTCCTGATATCGCTGCATACAGACAACCATAGATGTCAGTTCGACTGAGAAAGCCAACGTTCAAACATTAGACAGAAGAAACATCAAAAATACCAGCCAGAGAATTTTTAGAAGACCGCCTGGTATTCCAGTGAATCGTCAATCAATAGACACATCAAGATAGACAAAATTTACCAACCGATAAGAAGGAAATCTCACACACGCGCAGGGTCAAGCTTCAAGTCAAGGAAACAATCAGTTCCAATACAAGTAGCCTGGAGAGTGTGAAAACACACAAAACACAACCAAAGAGTCACTTTTAAGGTGGTCACCAGGAGTGATGATTAATAAACTCGTGGAAAAATCACTTCAGATTGAAGTATGCGCTGAAGATGTCGCCTAGTAGAGCAATGAAAGCTTCGCAAATTAACTATCCAGCTAAGAGAACACAACCACATCAAAATCATCCACCTGAGCTACAAATCTTCTCTATCATATCTAGAACAGTAGGTATTCTCTTATTAGATCTAACTAGGTCAGTGGATTTGAAGACTAATCAGATCTTTACTTTATTGTATCATGTTCATCACTGAAAGGTTTATTCATTAAGAGATGATCACGGATTGATATCAGTTATAGAACAGTTGAAAACTAACACCGGAGTGCTGGACACATGTTTCCTCCATCTTAGTTTGAGAATCATCGGAAGTACGCACCCACTGCCAGGGGCCGAACCCAGGACCTTCTGGTTACACGCCAAGCTAACTTGTATACTATTCAGCCAATGCCTCAGTTCAATATAAAGAAGAATAGAGATGGTGAAGATATCCATCATTTAATACCCACAGGCACCCATCACTATCAGTGGGAAGAATCTAAAGGAGATCACCTACATAACTTATCTGACCTACGTAGCTTCATTTCAACTGTTGCAGGTGGCAATGATAATGAAGTTTAAGGCAATCAGAATCGGGAAAGCAAGAGAGACAGGTGTTCACTACTCTGAAATCATTGTGGTGTGGAGATCTACAATACTGTGTATGCGGACCAAGGTCAGAATTTTAACACTAACGTTAAGAAAGTGCTTCCTTGTGGTTCGGAGACTTGGAGTGCACTTCCAGCAGCCAGCCACAGATTTTATTAACCCTTGTACCCCTCGCTCTATGAAATGACCGACCAGAAAGCATCTTTAACCACCATCCAACAAATATACAGAAACGGAGATGAACTGCACACACTCTGAGGAGGACGTTGGGCAACATCATACCCCAGACCCTTGAGCAGATATCAAATGGGAATCGACAGGTTGGGCTTCCGAGTATCACATCAAAGAGACCATGTGATGAGAAGGAGGTGTGGGCTTGCGGACAGTTATACAATCAGTTGGCAATGATAGTAGAGAACCCAGTTCAACAGGAGATGTGCCGTTGAAGACTTTAGTAAACAAAGTGAGAATAATACTTTGGGTAGTATTCAAAACTCACTTATCATAATGATGATTACTGTCCATTTTTGATTGTTCTGTATGCACAGAAGGTTTATGAACATCATTCATTATTCTGTACATTTTATAACTTGGGGAAGTTTCTGGAATATCACAAAATCGCGTATCTATGAGAGAGAGAGAGAGAGAGAAAGGCAGATGAATAAACAAAACAAGAAATATCGATTTTCGATAAGAATTTATCATATACCCACATTGCCTAGGAGAACACTAGAAACTAAGCAATGCTGAAAACCTACACCAGAGGATGCTAGTAACCTAGTCTAGAGTCCAGTGAACAGTAACTGTCTTCGCTTTATTGTAAGCGTATTCACATACTGTCATTAGATCCAAATCTAATATGGCGCAGTTTTACTGACTAGTGCTCCCTATTATTAAAGGCTAATGACGTGTGAAGACTTAAGTTGTCTGGTGATCATTGATTGAAAAAGCTTTGAAACTATCAGGTGACTATTCGTACAGAGGTGATAAGTAACGACGTAATTAGCAAAAGAAAGTCAGGCAAAGTTAAGCTTTAGGCACCACCAACTACTACCAATCAGCGAATGACCTCGAATGCACCAGTCACACGAAGGAGGTATTTTCGTGTATGAAATACATATATATTTATGAAACGAAATGCATAAAAGCTGTATAAAAGTAATACACAGCATACCTTCCTCTCGTATGTGATAAAAACAGCCCTCAGTTTTACGTTGGTGTCTATCGACAGAGTATAATTCTCAAGTATTGGTTTTGTAGGGATTTTGTTTGATTGCATGGAGAATTTAATCATGAGCTGACATTAGTTAGAGAACCATTGGAAAACCTGGGAGTACTGGACAGCTGCTGTTTCGTCCTAGTTTGGGACTCTTCAGCAGTACGCATCCACCGCCACTCTTCGAACCCAGGACCTTCTGGTTACAAGGCGAGCTCGTAGACCATTGAGCCACTGGGACCCGATCCAATGGTCCTTGAAGTATAATTCCATTGTGGATAAAATTTATTTTGATAAAGTCTGACAGTGTTATGCAGTAATAATATTTACTGGGCAATAAACATCGTCAGTAAATATTACTGTATAACGCGATGTGAGACTTTATCAAAATAAATGTTACCCACAATGGAATTATACTCTATATCACAATGCAGAGTAATTTAACTACACTCTATGTATGTTGTCAATGTAGTTAAAGATTGAACTATCAATTCATGGTTGTTTGCTCAAAACCAACTTCCCCAATTTTCGCGGAGGCATCAATACGACATTCATCATCTCATCGGTCGCTGTTCAGAAAGAAGTCAGCAGAAAACCGTCAGAAGTAATATTGTGATTTATTATTGTAATATTTGTTCACAGACCTTAGTTGTAACATTGTTTATATGTTGGTATAACAATAAAGAATCCTCGAGTCACCAATTGGTGTTTTGGTTTTTTCGTCCGTTATTACTAAGCGTTTCTGAGAAACTTCAAGGAACAGCGTGAGCTCGAGCGTAGCAAGAGCTGGGCATTAACGGTTTACGAGACGTGACTGACATATCTATTTATTTAGGTCTTCTAACTCTAACAACAACAACAACAACAGCCCTTATCCTTCCTAAACCTAACCCTAACGTGAAAATATGCCTAAACTAACCCTAAGTTGTGCTTGGTTTAAAGCGTAACTTAATCTTTCCCAAATCTAAGCTGGATCTTTCCAGATATTCCATTGAATAACCTAAAACACATTGATGAGCATATTTTTGATTGATGATGACAGCATTATTTGCCGGATTTCACTAACTAACTTGTTCAGTGGGTGTTTCAAGGTGATTGCTGCGGTCGCACTCCATTGATAGTTTTGTTAGTGGTGCTTAAATATTTAACTTGGCCAGCGTTATTATGATACAGTTTTTTTTTCACTGATCAGAAGAAATGAACACACGCATTGGTGAAATGGTCCAAACTTAAACTGAGCAGGTTTTTCAATGTTTTTTTTATGACTATTTTTACTTCTCTAACTGAGATTTCATTCAGTCGTTTGCATTCTGAGTAGAACATGGGGCTTTAAGCTTTTCGAATTTCAATAGAAGCGTTGTAAATTTTACAGAGGTGAATTGCTAGCCTCAGAGCCAATGTTTCCTCGTATTCGGGTTTACTCCCAGATAATAAACTAGGCAAGGCTGAAGAGTTTGTTTATCAGGCATGGAATCATGACCTCTTGCGTTGAACAAACGACACTAGAGACCATTCCAATTGTACAGGGTGTTACTTGTGACTTGAATAAACTGGTGACTGACTACTGAGAGAGTGAGAAAATTCCGGAGTAAATCATTCCCCCTTGATGATACATTTTATGAATTAAAAAAGTAGATCAAGTAATATATTGTGCAATGTGTTGATTGAGAATATAAAGACGGCCTTTCAAGTGATCAGTGAGCAATCTAACACTGAACCACCCTTTTCTAACTAATATGGAGTAAGGATACTGTTATGTTCTAGTTTTCCCCGTCGCCAAATTGTTATGTACTCGTCGCTGAATTATTGTTATGGACTGGTCGAGAAACTAATAGTCCTGACGCGAGAAGGCGGAAATCAGAAGACCACTAGGTTTGCGATGATACTTCTATTGTCCAAACACAAGGAGACGAAAATAAATGGTCTCACACCAAAGTGGTAAGTAAGTCAAGTAGTTGTAAAGTAAAGGTAGTTCACACAAATTGTGAATGCGAATATATATAAATAATTCAGACAAGCGTGGGAAAAATCATTAGACAGTCTTAACATGAATGGCTAATTATAATGGAGTGTCGATCCAATTATACATAGCGAATATAGCAGACATGCCAACAAACATATATGGATATATGTCACCAAGCAACGGACTGTCAACAAACACTCATATTATATATAATATAATATAAGGAGAATACACATTATTAAAGGAGACAAGTCCATACAAGTGAAGTGGTCACAGACTAACCGAGCAAACAGAAAGAGAGACCAACATGCACACACACACATAAATATATATATGTGGATACATATCACCTCCCCTTTTGAGAAGATGGATGATTAGTAGGATGTTTACCTGGGGGTTTATCTGGGACCTTTGGGCTTGTTGTTGACGCCTGTCGTTTCGTCTGATTGTTGGGTTTGCGGCTTCGGCTCCGTCCGGAATTGTCTAGCATTTTATGCTTCTTCACTGTATTGCGTAGAGAATTTAGTGGGACATCAGCCAGATGCAAACGATCGAACCAATCAAGTCCCAAAACATTTAAATCATTCTTCGTGACGTAACAAATTCCTGTGAATTTGGTATTGCGGAAGGAAACAGAACATTTGAGTTCACCAATTAGTTTGAGCCGCCCACCACAGGCGCTGAGAAGAGACTGGGAAGTATTGGTGATAGGTGGTCTGCCAATATAATTCCAAAGTTTCTCTGATATAACAGTAATATCAGAGGCAGTATCTAGCTGCAGACGAGTATCATGACCATTCATCTGAAGGTCAATATATTTCCGCATAGCTGGTGTTGTGACTTGACGGGTTGCGCGTAGACTCAATGACTTTTTGGGGGATTTAGGACCAACATTTTGTTGAGCTTTTGCTGGATTTTGATATCTGGGCTTGCGTGGCTGACAAAAACCATTTTTGTGACCGATGATCTTGCACTTGCTGCAACGATGATTTTTGTATGGACAAGACTTTACAAAGTGCCACGCGCCACAATGCCAGCATGGTGATGGAGGGGTCTTCTTTGTCGTATTTTGTGAAGTTGGACGAGTATCTGTAGATTTCCGCGGAACATTAGAAGAAGGTGGGTCAGGAGTAGATGATGAGAGATTTTTGCTCTTGCGTAATGCACGAATATCAGAGCTTCTCGGAGGTGTTGATTCGACCAGGTGTGTGTCTTTCTGCAGATTAATCAGCCGTTGATATTCATCAGCTATGTCATGTAATGTTAACTTGGGATTTTGTTCTAGCTGATTGAGCAGTCGAGTTCGGATATCTGTGAAACGAGGAGATTGGAGACTGCATATGAGAATCAAGGCTTTGAACTGATCATCTGTTAAGGACCTGAGTCGAAATCTCTCACATTCTCGGTTGACTGTGCCAACGTGAGTAAGAAAATCATCATTTTCATTCATTGCCAGCTTGAGGCAACGATAACGTATACTGAATAATGAGGAGTGGTCTCCGAAATGTTCACGCAGCAACTTTATTGTATCATCGAAACAATTGTCACGTGGTTTCTGTGGTAAAATTAGGTTGCAGTACCGTTCATATTCTGCCGGACCCAATTTACGTAGCAAAACTCGCACCTTCCAGGCATCGTCTTGTGAGGCGAGATCAACAGTGAATAAATCCTCATAACGTTGATACCATGTGTCAAAAGTGACATTAGCCTCTGGGTCATAATTGAACTGTGAAATGCTGTTCACAATTCCGTCGACAGATGGTAGCATGGTATGATTGGGATTGCTTGAAGGTGGAGCTGGACCAGTCTGTTGGTTGACGAACATTTCCATTAATTTCATTTGTCGTTCAAACAATAATTCCAATTTAGAAGGATCCATAGTAAATTGTTATGTTGTTGCTGCTGTGTGGTTAATAGTAGTTTTTCCCCGTCGCCAAATTGTTATGTTCTAGTTTCCCCGTCGCCAAATTGTTATGTTCTAGTTTTCCCCGTCGCCAAATTGTTATGTACTCGTCGCTGAATTATTGTTATGGACTGGTCGAGAAACTAATAGTCCTGACGCGAGAAGGCGGAAATCAGAAGACCACTAGGTTTGCGATGATACTTCTATTGTCCAAACACAAGGAGACGAAAATAAATGGTCTCACACCAAAGTGGTAAGTAAGTCAAGTAGTTGTAAAGTAAAGTGTAGTTCACACAAATTGTGAATGCGAATATATATAAATAATTCAGACAAGCGTGGGAAAAATCATTAGACAGTCTTAACATGAATGGCTAATTATAATGGAGTGTCGATCCAATTATACATAGCGAATATAGCAGACATGCCAACAAACATATATGGATATATGTCACCAAGCAACGGACTGTCAACAAACACTCATATTATATATAATATAATATAAGGAGAATACACATTATTAAAGGAGACAAGTCCATACAAGTGAAGTGGTCACAGACTAACCGAGCAAACAGAAAGAGAGACCAACATGCACACACACATATAAATATATATATGTGGATACATATCAGATACACAAGTAAATTGAGTTGGTTTCAGGTTTTCATCATGAACTGAAATAGGTTAGGAGACTACTGGAAAGCCTTCAGAAAGTACCGGATAACTATTTCATCTGTCTGTCTGTCTGTCTGTCTGTCTGTCTGCTGTCGACATAAAACTTTGCGCCGATGTGCAACAGTTCAAATCGCCACACTCCCTTTTTGTAGCACACAAAGCAAGAGAAGAAAGTAGAAGAAATGCATATTAGAGGTAGTAAAAACAGAGGTGTGAGACAAAGGAATAGTAATAACGAAGAACAAAACAGTTTCATTGAAAATCATAAGTCACAAAGGGTGGATGCATCTGCGCCAGCCATCATCGAGAACGATTTTGAACCATTTCATCGATTGTTTCCAGTCTTCATTGGTGTTTACTGTCCGGAGGACTCCGACCAGGAAGTCTACACCCTCCTACGTGAATGGCTTAAACTAATTGATGAGGCCATGTTTTGGTTTGAACACCACTGGCTAACTCTTTTCCAACCTGATTAAACCTATGTCAACTAACACTGCCCGTCAGTCGAGGAAGGCAATGGTTATCCATGCATGCATAACACATGTCCTAACCATTTCAGTCAATATAGCTTCACAGGCTCGTCGATTGATTTCGCCTCCCTCCTTACCAAGCACTCGATGCCTAAACTCAATATCAGTCACTCTATTATACCACTTAACACACAAATGGGGGATAGAGCGTAGGCACCTAGTAGCAAAAGAAAGCTAGCCTGGTTTTTCACATCTTCCAATCTCAATGGCCATGTCTCACAACTGTTTCGTCCTGTTTTGGGACTCCTCATCAGTGCACACCCACAACACAGGGTCCTAATCCAGGAACTTCTGGTTAAAAAGGCGAGCTAGTTCGTAGGCCATTAAGCCACTGACTGGCCAGCCCATGAATTTCAACCTCTGCCAATTCACAATATGCTGCGACTAGCAGTAGCAAATATCAACGGTGGTGAGTATTTCGCCTCACACCCCACCTACTCTACCCAACTGGTCACAACTTCCCACAAGTAAAATTGAGTTGAGAGAAATATATATAATGCCTTTATAAAATATTACAGATTTCTAATCTTATTACTTACTTGCTGAACAAAGTGCATAATTTCTCCATGTATTTGTTGGATTTTTATCATAATTACATAAGCTGACATTCTGATCATTTACAGTATTGGTTATGTAATCATCAGTATCAAAACTGTCCAACATTTTTGTGTTTATCAACGGCGGCATATCTTGATTTTCTGCTTTTATTCCCTCTCCAATGTATATTATTTCACTGAATCAATTTTCAAAACAGAAAGTACTCAAAAATAAATCGTAATAATAATGATTTACTTTATTTCAAAAACAGTACTTGTGATACAGAATGGAATTTTCAGCATTAATCACACACAATATTGCATCTAATTTCCTCAAATTATAAATAAAAATTAATCACACAGAAAATCTTCCACATTTACAAAAGGGGTAATATCAAAAGCATGCAGCAAATAAAACGGAAATAATAATAATAATAATAATGACAACAGCTAGGGCAATAATAATAATATGCTAGGAACTCCAAGTACAAAAACTCCACAATACCTTATCTGGAACAGCTGTTATGTGATGAGAAATCCGTTAGGTATGACATGGTCAACTTACTGCGGCACTCTAACAAATTGTCCCATTAGTTTTTGTTTTCCTTTCCTCGTTACTATTGCACTGTTGTTCTCATCTTCTACTACACACTAATTTTATATTTCATAACCTGTGGTGCATTGTTTGAAATGTAAACGCTACGCTGTTCTTTTTATTTTTTTTATTTATCTTTCTTTTGGGGTGTTGCTTTTTGATTTTAAAATCTTGTAAAATTTATGAGGTAATTAGATGCAATACATTGTAATGCACGCTGGAAATTCCATACCCGCACCACAAATACTGTTTGGAATAAAGCTGTTATTATTATTATTGTTATAATAATAATAATAATATACTTTACTCCAAAAACAGTACTTGTGATACAGAATGGAATTCTCAGCATTAGTCACACACAATATTGCATCTAATTTCCTCAAATTATAAACAAAATTAATCACACAGAAAATCTTCCACATTTACAATAGAGGTAGTGTCAAAAACATGCAGCATATAAAATGGAAATAATAATGATGATAACAGCTGAGGTATTAATAATAATACAAGTGAAAATTGCCGTGGGCTTGTGTCACACAGTATAGTCAATGCGGTATAGAAATCCTAGAGTGTTTAAAAATATTGAATATAATCTTCTCTTTACATGATACGGTGAGGGGAAAAACAAAGATTACAGCACTCATCGAGATAAGTTGGTGTTTGCAATTATGAGAGTAAAACAAACAAAGAAGCAACAGGACCATAAATATAACAGAAATAATAAAAGTAACACTTGAAGGTATATAAGGATGGATGGAGGAAATTGTTTATTTACTAGATGAAAGAAGGTTAGTTAATTCTTGCCTGACACTATTTTCATCACATAAAATACTTGCCAAGTATGGTATCATAGAATTTCTATACTCAGACGTGCAAGCATACAGTTTTCTGAAATTACTTCTTGTTCTACCTGAGAAGATGCAAGGTGAAAGCTGAGGGTAAAGTGGATGCTCCAAAGTCAGACAAAATCCCTCTAGCAAATTTATTGCACGAAGTCAAGTGCCTTTCGACAACGACGTTAACTATGTGGGTCCACTGGGACACACCACTCACCCTACTGACAGTCTTCAGCATTCTACGAATTGCAACATAGTCCTTTTTAAGCAGCAAACAAGGAAAGAATAAGGGTGAACAATAAAGAAGAATAGGTAGGATGCAAGAGTTTATGAACTGTAAGAGGGGGGGGGGTTGAGTTACACTCGAGTATCTTAACTTCTTAATGTAAAATGTCAGGCGGAATATTTTACTGGAGATTGCTAAGACATGGGAAGACCAGGAGAGATCAGAAGAGAGAATAAGTTCAAGATACTTAATTTCTGATTTGATTTCTATATCATTGTCGTCAATTTTACAACTGTCATGAGAATCGATGACTTCTTTTAACTGTCTTTTACATCTTAAGCTGAAATTGGAATAAAAGTTAAACAGTTCAAATGAACTATCGTCAAGATTTGACAGAGTAGTTCTAAAATATTTGGGCGCCGAATGAGAAGTAAACATTAGTCAAAACAAATATACTTGTGTGAAATCTCAGCGAGATTGAAATGAGTAATTCCAACGTTTCCTATATCCGGCAATCTGGTCAGAACTTCTTCAAGGAAATTAATCAAAATTAACATAACAGAAATTTATATTGCAAAAAAGGAACGTTGGAATTACTCATTTCAATCTCGCCGAGATTTTACAAATATAATTTTTTACAAAAAGGAAGACAATTTCATTTATTTTAAAAGTTTGATTAAAAAAAAGTGACTTTAGTTAGAGAACCATTGAAAGCCACCAAGAAGCACTAGACACCTGTTTCGTCCTTGTGTGGATCCCTTCATCAGTACGCGTCTATGATTCCAACCAGAGATCGAACCCAGGACATTCAAGTCACTAGGTGAGCCCAATGACCATTAAGCCACTAAAACGGAATTCAAATGGCCCATCACTTTCAACTTCGAAAGAATTTCATTGATAATTTAGAGCTTGGACATGAAGTGATTTCAGTTAGAGAACCAGTGAAAACCAAAGGTAGCTGTTTTTTTATCCTTGTTTGGGATTCTTCAGCAGCACATATCCATAACCCCTGCACACTAATATTATAGACAGTTAAGAACAAATGCTATAAATCATGAATTGACAGAAGTTAGAATTCATGAGCTGGCCGGATAATCAGTGTGCTGTTTTTATCATCTGAAGGTCTTGGGTCAATCCTTGGTGAGGTCATGAATGTGTATTGTTGAAAAGTGATGCATTCCACCAGTGGTTTTCAACAGTTATCTAATTGTGGTCATTTCATCATCAAACTAGAAATGTTTAAGAATAATAATAATAATTTATGTTCTATAGTTTGTAAGGATTAGATTTGTTTTGATGAGTTGATCACGAATTGATATGAGTTAGAGAACCGTTGAAAACCAACACTGGAGTACTGGATAGCTGTTTCATCAGCCTAGTTTGGGAATCATCGCCAGTAACCACCCACTGCCAGAGGTCTAACCCAGGACCTTCCGGTTACACGCCAAGCTCACTTGTATACTATTCAGCCACTGGGACCCAATCCCACAATGGCCGTTTCATGAATTCTAACTTCTATCAATTCATGGTTTAGTGCGATTGGCACCAACCAATGTCATCGGTTGTACATCCATCCTCAGATCTGACTGGATATACCTGACTGGTCACGTCCTCTCACTAGAACTCCAGGAAACTCTGCCATGTAGCAAGGCACTAGTGAGCATCAGATTAATTTTCTATAGTTGGTTTGTAGGAATTAGATTTGTTTTATTTCAAGTAAGAAGTTGTGACCAATGAGATCCATTCAGATGTCAGATGTGAGGATGGATGTCCCACCGATGACACTGGTTGGTGCCAATCGCACTAAACCATGAATTGGTAGAAGTTAGAATTCATGGACTGGCCATTGAGGAATCGCGTCCCAGTGGCTGAAATAGTATACAAGTGAGCTTGGCGTGTAACCAGAAGGTCGTGGGTTCGACCCCTGGTTTATTTTTAACTGTTCTATTTTAGACCATTAAGCAGGAATAATATAGTCACAGTTAACATTTGAATCATATTAACTCAATAATAAATAATTAAAAAGAATAATAATAATTAATATATAATGAGTCAGTATAAACTTAGTTTATTGTTAATGCAGTTGTCCTTAGATAACCTAGTTACTAATGTCAACAATAAACAAAAAAATCGGTAAACTTATTTGCATAACACTGGGCATAATTGATGAAAGATGAGATGGTATGTGAAAAGTTTTGAATAGAGAATTATTTAAAAAAATAAACAATTGAATTAGTGGGCATTTTGGTTACTGACTGAAGAAATGCTCGAAAAACAAGATGGAACAACATATTATTGCAGTATTACTATAACTATTATAACAAGATTATTGAGAGCGATAAAACAGACTTATACTGCCGCCACCCCCCGCTATTGTTTGTCATTTTCCAGCTGCTAACCAATTATGATTACTCAAGTGAAAGACAAGCTACCTTGCTAGCTGTGCGCCACTTCTATGCGTATCCGTAAGTTTAGTTGCTCCTGTGGAGAGAGCTGGTTATATAGGGGCGAACAACTAGACAGCTTAACAAACGCACCATTAATCACCATCTTCCTTCATGTTTTGGAAAAGGTCAAATAAAATCTATAAGAAGTTCTATTTTGACTCATGTGATTGGTGATAGCAGTCACTAAGTGGACAGAAATAGTGCTGCCTTCAAAGTTCTATCTATCGCATTCCATCGGGCCTTTTGAACAGAATTCGAACCTGCCTTTTACACAATGCCGAAGCTATGGAAATCAATTCGAGAGAACAGTCCTAGTCTTTGCATACAACAAAGGAAGTTTGTTCTACCTTTGTCTCTCCCTTGCCTGGCCTAGGTGAATTCTATTCAAAGCCCTCCCACCCTTTCTTATCTCTCACCTCCTTCGTACTTTTTTGATATTTATTTAAACCCTGATTATCTGTCCACTTCACCTACCTTTAGTATTAAGTAACTTTTAAGGTTTGACCTAATTATCTATTTATTGAATTGTCTATATATACACATATACACACATTACTACCTTTGTTGTTCTTATCGCCACCTGCATAAACATTATTATCAATATTTTTTTATCATTATATTCATCTTTATTAACTACATTCAAAACATTTACCACATTATTATTATTTGATCCACAAAACCACCGTCATTGGTTAAAATTTTTATATATAAATCTATGTAAATTAGAGTAAAGCCTGAAGAGGATCTAATTGAAAACAACGATATCGTTCGCTTCTATATCTTGTTCTTATATTAATAATAGGAATACTGAAAGATTTGATATTTATTTTATTTATTTATTGTTCCCTTTGGTTCCTAGTGGAACATACGGCTTCAACTACACGTCTACACTTGCCACTTCTGTCTTCCTTCTGCTGTACTTTTCACCTTCATCCATGTTAGTCCATACTGTTTCAACTCCTCCTCTTCACACAATCTCCTCCATATCACCCTTGTACTGACGTCCAACTCACCGCTTCCCTTTAGGGTTCCACTCGAGCAATGGCCTGACGCGTGCTCGATGTCACCCAGTGGCGGCCTCCTCAGCGAGTGTTCAATCCATCTCCACTTTTTCCTGAATATTTGCTGGTTGGCGATTGATTCTTGTTTTGTTTGTTAGTGCCCATAGTTTCTTGTTGGTGATTCTTTCCGGCCCGACCCGGCCATCTTATCTTCAGTATTGAGCCAGCTAAGACATTTTTTGATGAAGGTCTGCAACAGGCTGTTGGAAATATTCTTTGTGACCCGCCCGCCAAGTTTCTGATCCGTATAGAAGAACTGACTGTCTTGACATTGTTTGTATTGAAAATCCGAGTAAAAGTCGAGTAAAGCTTTCACTCGATTAACTACCGGTTAAACGAAATTAAGGAATACCTCGCCTCGGGGTCGAACCTCAGACCACATGTGTGGGTTTGGCGAGTATTCTATCCTTGAACCAAGGGGAACACAATCAAAATAATATCGTCAACCATTCATTAAACTGATTCTTTTGATGAGTTAGGTAATTCTTCTCTTGCATATCCAGTGATGTTAGATGGTTGGAGGTAATTGGCCACAGGAAGCCTTGCTCTCTTGATCTAGGTTTCGTGCTAGTTGACACTCATCAGCAAGGCGTATCCCCAACCCTTAAAGGAACTCATGTTCCTTCTGAGATTCGAACTCGCATCACCAGTGCTGCAGTTAGAGACGTTACCACCCAGTGCGGGTTGGAGATACGCCTCGCTGACGAGTGTCAACTAGCACGAAACCAGGTCAAGAGAGCAAGGCTTCCTGTGGCCGATTGCCTCCAACCATCTAATATCATCAAATCAATGTGCACCATAATGGCGAGCTACCTAGTGGCATGGTGGCCACATTGCAGACCTGACTAACTGATAGAATTCAGTCTGCACCAATGACAGGACTAGCCAGACACATCACACTAGTTACTAGTGTCAAATCAAAATATCCAGTAATTAACTTTAACACTCAAAAAGATATTTATCTGGGAGTAAAATTTGAAACTTACTCATCATGGTGACATCCTATTGTTGTTCTTTCAGTATTCAATTTATTGACTTGATCTGATAACCATTGTTTACGTTTTCGTGATACTGAATCACGTAAAGTCTCAAGAGATTGACCTATCTAAGATCAAAAGATAAAAATAGTATCCAATAAATTTTGTAAAAATATAACTAAAATTTATGTGTAATCTACGAAGTATTAAAGTAGATATAAGTACAGAAACTTTTGATGTGGTTGTGTTCTCTGAGCTAGCTGGCTGGATGGTTCATTTACGAAGCTTTCATTATCTCCCTACTAGGCAACGTCTTCAGCGCATACACTTCAATTTGAAGGAAGTGAACTTTTAGATTTCTCCACGAGTTTATTAATCATCTCTCTTGGTGACCATCTTGAACGTGACTCTTTGGTTGTGTTTTCTGTGTTTTCACGCCCTCTAGGCTATTTGTATTGAAACTGATTGTTTCTTTGACTTGAACTTTGACCCTTTGTGTGTGTGTGATTTCCTTCTTATCGGTTGGTAAATTTTGTCTATCTTGATGTGTCTATTGATTGACGATTCACTGGAATACCAGGCGATCTTCTAAAAAAATTCTCTGGCTATCATTCCTGGTGTTTCCACTGTCTAATATTTGAACGTTGGTTGTCCCAGTCGAATTGATGTCTGTGGTTGTCTGTAAGCAGTGATATGAAGGAGGGAGTGGATGTCATGTCTTTTGACGGCTAGTCTATGTTCATGGATACGATGACGAAGTTGTCGTTCACTTTGGCCACTTTGACGTACAGAATCTTAGAAACATCATTCACACTATGTTTTGTACTACTGACATGAGTTTATAAGTAGTTTATTGTTGGTGGAGCATTCACATCAAGCTGAAGATTTTTAAATTAGATGAAAGGTGTGTCTTGGATTCTACTGGGACACACTATTACACAAGTAGCTTTGGGTTCTTACTCCTGGTAGTATCTAGACGTCCGTGCAAGAAGACCAGATACCAATATGAAACTGATTACTGCAGTCAGAAACTTGCACTGCGTGTAATGGAAAGGGTTTCCAACAGGTTGCAGACTTTCATCAACTGCTGCCTACCTAGCTGGCTGGCTCCATACTGAAGATCAAATGACCAGCTGGCCAGAAAGAGTAAGCAACAAGAAACTCTGGCCGGGAACAAACCAACAGGCGAGAGCCGACTGCTCAACAAATATGTAGGAGAAAGTGAAGATGTATGTATGTATGTATGTATGTAGCGTTTTTAAAATTCAAAGATCCGATTTCAGATGTCGAATAGCTAATGATTCCCTGTATGTACAAATGACGTATGCAAAGTGCAGTATTATTATTCCTTTGCATTTCGAGCGAAACATGGGGCTTCGACAACGCAACTCCACTTTCTTCTGTTTTCTGCCATTCTCTTCAGCTGGCTACACGGTTGACTAAACTCTCCCATCTCTTCCTCGCCCAATCCATATATATATATGTGTATGTTGTGGGAAAATTACTATTTAAAATATATACTACTAACTAACTGAGATGAGTAGTTGTATACCAATCGAAGGAGAAGTCAGAGTATTGATTTCTCCTTTAGACATAAACGTGATCTACAACGACTGGTTAGTAAGTACATGTGATGCCTGTAGTATAGAGGGGACTGTAGTGGAGCTAAATCTAACATAAAAAAACCTTGGTATAATTCTATCTTCTGACCTTATTGGTTATCCCATACTTTGTCGATTTCCAAGAAAATGTTTCTTTTAAGCTACTATATTAAGAAGTTAAGACAATCTGGAATCACTAAACCTCTACTTTTACAGTTTCTTAACTCTTGTATCTTACCTATTGTACTCTAGTGCTCCCCATAATTAGTCTTTCCCAGGTTACTGAAAAAAAGAGTATGTCATATTGTGAAGGGTATTTAAAGATTGTCAGTAAGGCCACTGACGTGCCACTTAGGCACATAGGCATGTTTCTCATCGGATTTCCGAGCATCATCCCCTGAACAATGGTTGGTTAAGTAAAGACAAACAAAATCTAATCACACAGCGCTATTCTATCTCATCTTGTGGATACACAGAACACAAGATTGATGTCAACGAGGCAGCTTTCAAAGACATCAGCCTCACACCAACCAAAAAATCTTAACTTCGCCTTAACAGTTCGTTCACTACATATTGCTGAGACTAGCTGTTGGGATCCACATTAAGAAGACTAATTTGTGTGTCTAAAGGAAGAAGATAGTCCAGACACTGTCCTTGCATTGGCAATCTAGGTTTGAATGATTCTCAATTTTTGTAGAAATTTCCTTAATTTTAGTTGATATTTATTTGCTATTATATTTTTACTTTTATTTTTATAATTATAATCTAAGCATATTTAATGAACTGTAATTCCATTGTGATCTTACTTAACAAATCGATATTATTTAAAAAAACTCAATCAACCAAATCCCTACAAACCAATACATGTATATCAATGACATGCTCACTGGCGACTGGCCGTATTCAGGTAGGCAGTTACCTGGGGTTCTAGTAAGACTCGTGACCAGTAGGGTGCAGCAGGTAGGGTGTGAGGACAAATACTACCTGAAAACATTGGCTAGCGATTGCGCTATATCGTGAATTGGTAGAAATAGAAATTCATGGACTGGCCATTGGATGGGGTTCCAGTGACTTAATGGTTTACGAGTTCGCCTTTTGACCGGAACGTCGTGGGTTCGTACTGCTGAATGGTACGAAACTAGGACGAAACATGTGTCCAGTAATCCCCGGTTCTCTAACTGATGTCAGCTCATGATGAATTCCTGTAAAAAATCAATCAAATTTCTACAAACCAATACTTTAAAATCAACCTGTTACTGTTATTATTATTATTATTATTATTATTATATTTAAGCATCTTTAATGAACTGGAATTCCATTGTGATCTTACTTCACAAATCGATATTATTTAAAAAGCACACTAATATTGTTATCGACTACTAATCTAGAATATTCTATGTATATGAACATACATGTATGTATAATTGTAGAACCAGAAGAGGAGGAAATTATCGAAAACTATGTTCTTTGCTCAATTATTTTGTGTTTTATAGATGTCTGAATGAATATTTTCTCACTATATTAATTGGTAAACATCTGAACTCATGTGAGAAGTGGTCTGAATCTATATTATGTGACCCTCAACATTCCATCTATTTTCAACTCTCCACGTCTTATATCTCTGCTGTACTCACTGAAGCTGGTGTCCCCTAAGGTGCTGTACTCTCCCCACTTCTCTTTTCTTTCTTTCTTTCTACATGACCTACCATCTTCAGATGACTTTAATTTTGTCAAATATGCTGACGACCTGACTATATCTTCACCTGTCAAATGTCAAAGTGACTGCTCCAAACTAAATGGCTTTTTATCAGAAATCAGCCAATGGTCCAAGGAAAACGGTCTTACCTTAAATCTCTCCAAACGCCAAACAGTCACTTTCACCTTTAGGAATAAATCTGACCTAAACAAACTAGTTAGCACCCACCCACGAGGTGTGCAACATAGATGGCACTGAAATAGACAGAGACCAAGTCGGAAATTAAATATCTTGGCGTCATTCTATCTTCTGATCTTTCCTGGTCATTTCATATCTTGACGATTTCTAAGAAAATATTCCGTCTTACCTTCTATATCAAGAGGTTAAGACATTCTAGAATAACTCAACCGTCACTCTAACGACTCATTAACTCTTGGGTCCTGCCTATTATTCTCTATTGTTCCCCGTTAGTTTTCTCAGGGCTGGCTACTGAAGAAAGACTATACCTTATTACGCAGGATGTTAAACGTTGTCAGCAGGGTAAGCAACGTACCACTTAACCAGCTTGTTAATAGAAAACTATATGCTCACACTAGCAAGTACAAAAACTCAACCGTACCATACTTAGCTCGTGTTCAGTGCGATAAAGAAAGCATTAGGCGTGAAACTTATAAATTATTGAATAGTCAGTAGAACAACTGGATCTCGTCTTTCCAACTCATATCATTTATAGGTACACAGTTTTTTCTTTCTTTTCCTTTCCTCCTTTTTGTTATGTGCTGTTTTGTTTTTCTCTTCCTTACAAACTCTGCTTAAAACATTCTTCTTCGTTCTTCCACACTCTGTATATTTTTCTTGACCTTTTTGTTACCGCTTACGCCAGTAAATATGCTAGTATCATCTACTTTTCTAACACCTAACATTCTGTTCACTTTTGGCCTTACTACCGACATTCTAATATGTTGTTGTCAAAATTAACCGAGATTAGTCTTGATCTATGTAGAATTTTATTTATTGATAATGTACTAACTGAATGCAATACTGTAGTAAAATGCTGAGAATTCCATTCTGTATCGCAAGTACTGTTTTGGAATAAAGCGAATTATTATAATTAATATTATTATAATTAATACATCAACTAGTATTGCTTGCTAACCAGAAATCTGGTGGTTTGAACTGATCCGACCATCTACTCTGAGTCCAACTACATACACAGTTGATGAACTCGACCAGGAAAAGAGGAAAGCTGCCATCCAGTGTTGAGATCACTTTAGCCTGGCTAAATGACAAGTACTCATCTCAATCGATCAGTGGTATTATAGTTTAGTATATTTAAGCATGATTTATTGATTACCATCTATGATATCTAGTACATTTTTGTTTACTAATCAGTCCCCATTATAGACAAGATTTTATTTTGGATAAATCACACAGTGTTATACAATGATATTAACTGATGACGAGGTTTCGAGCACAATTTATCATTGCCACTCATAATCAGATCAAAGCCCTCCTCACTCACACAACTTTCTATCTTCGTTTATATAATTCCATCATTATTTTTCATCGCTTGACTTGATGATTGATTGTAGTACTTTTCAATATTTCGGTATGAGTAATGAGTCATTCCTAATGCATGTGTTGGGTGTAGACTCGATGAACCAGGAAGGATTCAATAATCAATCTCTCTAGTGCTCCACCTACATATATTACTTTGTAGAATTTTAACCCTCTCCCACCCACTATATAGTGTGGTTGTGCGTTAATGCATGCAGTGCAGTTGCTGAGCTTTTTCCTAAATTGCTTATCTTCTCGGAGTCAACCATTCTTACCTTAGTTAAATTCTTATGTTCCGACAATCTGACTACCCCTGACCTACTAGTTTGACCTATATAGTTGACCTCATTCACAGTCATTGCAGTGTATTTTGTAAATTATATTATTTTGTTTAATTGGGTCCACCGGGTCATTTAGCCTACAGAGCTTGTCCCTGCCTCGTTGAGTTTGTAGGTTTGAATGCCACCCTAATTCCTGCTTTATTGAGAATCCTACGTAGGGTCTCAGATGTCCCCTCCTTATATGGTATAACTGTAGATGACTTATATTCTCTCTTATGCTGGAACATAAGAATTTAGCTAAAGTAAGAACGGTTGATCCCGAAAAGATAAGTAATTTTTAAAAAAAAACTCAGCGATAACACTGCATGCATTACCACACAACCACACTATAGAGTGGGTGGGAGAGGGTTAAAATTTTAAAAAGTAATCTCTGTAGGTGGAGCGCGAGAGAGATTGATTACTGAATCCTGCCTCGTTCACTAAGTCTACACCCAAGACATGCAACAGAAATGACCCAACGCAAATACCAGAGATATGCATGGAAGATATTATTACCACCAGTCAGTCAGCCAAATCAGAGGAGGATAATGAATAATCTTAAATTGTATTCTATTTCAATTCAATTCACGCACATCATCACAACATTCTAACAAGTTACTTATTTATTTCGACTATAAAAACACTCGTCTTACTTCCCATCTGATTGTATTTGATTGATAACACTAAGATTATTTCTGAATGTACTTAATCATCTTATATTGATTTTATTCGATCAAATGTCTAATCATCAATTTTACTGATGTATATGAATGAAGCGAGAAAGTTGTGTGAGTGAGTGAGTGACTTGATATGATTATGAGTGGCAATAATTTGTGGTCGAAACGTGGTCGTCAGTTAATACTACTCTATAGCAACACTGTGTGTTTTATCAAAATGAAATCTTATACATAATGGAGTTATACTCTACCACCGCAGTGCCCAAATTTTATCCTTATATCAATAATACTAATCAGTCTGACTGCATGGAGGATTTCACCAGGATCTGACATCAGTTGGAGAACCACTGGAAAACCAGCTGGGAGTACTGGACAGCTGTTTCGTCAGCCTAGTTTGGGACTCTTCAGCAGTACGCACCCACCGCCACTCTTCGAACCCAGGACCTTATGGTTACAAGGCGAGATCGTATACCATTAAGCCACTGGGACCCGATCCAATGGTCCTTGAATTCTAACTTCTGTCAATTCACGATATAGCGCTACCACTTCGCAATGTCTTCTTCGATGAGTAACTTCCACCATCTTCAACCTGCTGTATCCTACTGGTCACGGCTTCCCAATACTTGACAGCTAATCAGTCTCTCCAAATTCTTTTAGAATGGATATTTTTAATCAGTTAAAACTCAATTTTGAGGGGATTTTTCCCCACCTCTTTAAATAAATATATACATAATAAACAATAATAGATTGGACACTCGCTGAGGAGGCCGCCACTGGGTGACATCGGGCGCGCGTCAGGCCATTGCTCGAGTGGAACCAAGCCGAAAGAGAAGCAAGCGGCGAGTGGGACGTCAGTACAAGGGTGACATAGAGGAGATCGTGTGAAGAGGAGGAGTTGAAACAGTATGGACTAACATGTAAGGAGGTGAAAAGTACAGCAGAAGGAAGGCAGAAGTGGCAAGTGGAGACGTGCATTTGAAGACCTGTGTTCCACTAGGAATCCAAGGGAACAATAATAATAATGCACCATGATGGCGAGATACTTAGAACGGTGGCCGCATCACAAACCTGGCTGACTGATAGAATTCAGTCTGCACGAAAGAGAGGACTAGACATATCACACTAGTTACTAGTGTCAATTCAAAATAATAATAACAATAAACAATTTATCATACCTCATTATCATCATCTTGATTATACCAGCTTGTTGAATAATGATTGATCTCATTGACATTTATTGATTTTTTTCTCTTATATATTTTATCATGGTCTGTTTTCATCCCGCTAGCTTTCCTAGCGAATGGAAGTGTTTCAGGGATTATCTGACAGTCAGAAGGATACTGTTGATTCTGTTTATTCAGATATCGACGAACATTGTCACAGAAATCAGGTTTTCTATTCTTTGCAGCTGCTTTGTGTTCTTCTGAAATACGATAGTATGAATCACTATTCATCATATGGTGGATATCATTGGAATCTCTTCTATGGGTAGGAGTGGAATAAATATGAAGATTATTCGGTATTGTTGTTGTTGTTGCAGCTGATGTGGGTGTTGTTTTTGTTCTATATAATAACACAGTGTCAGAAGGATTCCTATAATCCAATGAATAGGATCTCTTGAAGTCTTTGGACGAAAAGATGCGTTTATTGAAAGTAAAAAAAAACAGAGAGAATGTTCATGGAATAATCATATTTAACGGTTTTCATACATGGTATAATTGAACTCAAACACATTTACTGTATCGATGAAGATTTCCAAACTGTGAAACAAAACAGTTGTCTGGCAGTACTCTCTGCCTGGTGGTTTTCCGGTGGTTCTCTAACCAATGTCTTGTAACCACTCAATCAAATGTCTACAAACCAATAATTCGAAATCAATGAGATGCTACTCACTAGCAATTGGCCCTATTCACTTAGGTAGTGATATGTATCCACATATATATATTTATGTGTGTGTGTATGTTGGTCTCTCTTTCTGTTTGCTCTCTTAGTCTGTGACCATTTCACTTGTATGAACTTGTCTCCTTTAACAATGTATATTCTCCTTATATTATATTATATATAATATGAGTGTTTGTTGACAGTCCGTTGCTTGGTGACATATATCCATATTATATGTTTGGTTGTTGACATGTCTGCTATATGTATATATGGATCGATACTTCATTATAATTAGCCATTCATGTTAAGACTGTCTAGTGATTTGTTCACACCCTTGTCTGAACATTCATATATATTTCGCATACACAATTTGTGTGAACTACTTTACTTACTTACCACTTTGGTGTGAGACCATTTATTTTCGTCTCCTTGTGTTTGGACAATAGAAGTATCATCGCAAACCTAGTGGCCTTCTGATTTCCGCCTTCTTGCGTCAGGACTATTAGTATTCTCGACCAGTCCATAACAATAATTTAGCGACGAGAACATAACAATTTGGCGACGGGGAAACTAGTACATAACAATTTGGCGACGGGGAAAACTAGTACATAACAATTTGGCGACGGGGAAAACTAGTACATAACAGGTAGTCACCTGGAGTTCTAGTGGGATGTTGTTACCAGTTTAGGTACAGTCGATATTCTTCAGAAAATCTGTCAATATCTTGGGTTTGTAATTACCCCCCCCCCCCGCCAAATATGTCATCTACATGTAGTTAGAGCTGTCTGCGATCCAAAATTGTAGACAACAATTTACGTCCCTGATTGGAGTCATGAGAAAAATCAATAATAAAGTTTAACCTTGAGGAACTCAACAACCAATCACAGCAGACTTAGCGTGATCGGATACAATTCGTAGGTGTATAAATAACTATCTAAGCAATGGCCACGAGCAGTACATAATAACCTTCAGCAGGAAAACAACCAATCAGTAGGCGATGCTTCTCTGCTAAAATAACGAATAGTAATGTACATAAAAACGCTCTGTTGCCTGGCCCTTGTCTTCTGTCGTTACACACATATCTCTAACACAATTTGTGATTTCAGCCAAATATTTCAATCGACAACTTTTCACTACAATTGAGCTTTAAATTTCAAAGTTCCAGCGGCATTGGTGTTGTTTTTATGCAGTGGGATCGCTAGACAGTCGTCAAACCCTCTCGTCTTTTCTAGCGTCATTATCAGCTGATAAACTAGGTGAGATTTAGGAGTGCATTTGGCTGGGAATCGAATCCGCACCATCTTCGTGTCTGACAAGCATTCTACTAATAAAAAACAGACACGATAAAAATGATACCACTGATCAAATGGTCCGAGGTTCGACCCCCGCTACCGACGCACACCTGATATCTATGGTCGGGCTGAAAAATTTGGGCTACCGATATCCATGCTGAAAATTCCATACTTGTACCAAAAATACAGTGTGGAATCAAGCTGTAATCGAAAATAAATTTAAAAATTAGAATTTTTAGTTTAATGTTACCATCAATTTATTTACCATCAAACTATCAAAAAAGGTAGCATGGGTGAGAGAAGACAGAAAACAGAAAAATCTAATAAATAGAGTTAGCTTGTACATCAATTCATTAAGGTTAAAGTTCGTCAAATTGAAAACTCGCTTAGTGAGCTGAGCTCAGTAGTGTGTATAATGAAAGTAATCCAGTTACCAAGGGAGTGAGAGATTGACTACACTCTATTTCTGTGTGTATAAGCTTGGTTTGAAACGTTTGATTCCAATTGCTTCAGCAAACCGTAGTAGGTCTGCTGTCCTTTGTATGTTTAATATTTTGAAGAATTTGGAAATCTCGACAAAATGACCCGTATCCACAAGGTGTCTGGTAAATTAACTTTGTAAATATCTGCACCCCTTTAGGCATAAGTTTCTTGGAATATGCTCTGAAAACCGGATAAAAGCCCTTCTTTCTGTCTTTCCAATGTACTTGCTGCCGCAAATGCACGTAAATTTATAAATGCAGTTGAAGGTAACGTCATCAGGGTACTTATCCAGTTTTGATTGGCTTATAAAACATGTAGTACTGTATAGTGTCACCAAATTGGCTGCAGGGAAGCATCTCTTTATTCCTCCCTTCATCCTCTTTTCAATCTTTTGAGATACTGTGTCTCCTTTGTATGGGAGGCAAATGAACACTTTCTTCTTTTCAACTGTTGGATACTTCTCTTTCTCATCTCTTTCTTTGCTGTACTTTAGGATAAATCCTTTTGGATACCCGTTTTCCTTAAGAGATTTTTCAACAAAGCTTAATTCTTCTTCTGTCTTGTTAGGTGAACATAACTTCCTGGCATTTTCATAACTTCCTTTTTTCATAGTTTGACAGTATATAAATTGATGGTAACTAAAACTAAAAATTGTAATTATTGAATTAAATTTTTGATTTTCCCGTCGATTGATTGATTGGACCGAAGTGCTCGGTCTCAGGTTGACATGTCGGCTTCTTGTGCAGATGCTTCGACGATGTCTGGGCATTTAGTTAGTATACAACTAAATGCCCAGACATCGTCGAAGCATCTGCACAAGAAGCCGACATGTCAACCTGAGACCGAGCACTTCGGTCCAATCAATCAATCGACGGGAAAATCAAAATTCAATTCAATAATTAATATGACCCGTTGCACAAGAGGTGGCTCTCGTGGCCCAAGTGGTCTAGTGGATAACGCTTTGGCGTTTGAAACTATGGGTACTGGGTTCGAGCCTCGGTGGTGGGAACACCATCACTCACTGAGAAATGCAGGTACATCCAGCTGACGAGTCCCAAATAGGACGAAATGCGCTTTATCCCGGATTCCACTGCTAGCCACCATCCACCAATTGTATAAAAATTGTAATACTTATATTCTGGATGCGTTCACCTTATAATGTTTTCTCTATTACATTTCAAACACTGAAGTATGAAGTATGTTATTACTGATAACCATCGTGATCTCAGGTGGTGATGTGGAGCTGATGAGGGGAACCTATGAAATAGAATGACAATATCACATTTTATCCTGCAAATCTGGTCTTTCTTTCACTATCGAAATTTATCAAGTGAACCAAATGCGATATACAAATCATTTCTCAAAATAGTGTTTAATTATAATTACAAACCAAAAAATTGGTTAGATATTGAAAAAAAAGGTCAAAGTTAATTCACCAAAATTTATGCCATCATGTCTGTTCAAATTATTTTAATAGCTGAAACAGTTGACGGCGTGATAATACTGGCGACGAAAGACTACATCAATGATTGGTTAATGGTGAATAGCAGTGGAATCCAGGATAACGCACATTTCATCCTATTTTTAGGACTCTGGATTCCACGGCTAGTCACCATCAACCAATTGACTTAAAGTTACATAACCAGCATCTGCACATGGAGCTGAGATGTCAATCTGATACAATGAACTTCGATCCAATCAATCGACGGGAAAATCTAAATTAAATTAAATAGGGGAAGACTACGGTTATATACTATAGTTCATCTAGCACAGAACTGATTTGATGTCATGTATTCAGTTTTTCATGAATGGCAGGCTGAAATTTGGATGATTTAAAGCGAATCCAACACACTGCAGATACATTCGACATGGAAATGAAAGAATCAACCGTCTCTTGTGTTTTGAACTATCGACGTTTTTAGCGAGCACTTATTATGACTTACAAGCGAAAACCGACAAACTGGTCGAAAAGGAAGCAAAGACAGGATCCCGGGTGAACATAGACAAGACGGAGATGATGAAAATAACCAACCAACCAACAACAACAGCAACATCCAGCGCAAATCACCATCAACGGGAGGGATTTAAAAGAGGTTACTTCACTCACTTATCATCTATGGAGCATTGTCTCAACTACAGGAAGTCGGAACGGACGAGGATGTCAAATCAAGCGAGAATCGGGAAGGCGAGCGAGAAACACATTCATCAATCCACCTGAAACCAATCTTCGTCACTCAACTCAGCATCAACAACAAAATTCAGTCGGATTTTCAATACAAACAACGTCAAGTCAGTCAGTTCTTCGATATGGATCAGAAACTTGGCGGGCGGGTCACAAAGAATATTTCCAACAGCCTGTTGCAGACCTTCATCAACAAATGTCTTAGCTGGCTCAATACTGAAGATAAGATGGCCGGGTCGGAAAGAATCACCAACAAGAAACTACGGGCACTAACAAACAAAACAGGAACCAATCGCCAACGTACAAATATGCAGGAGAAAGTGGAGATGGATCGGACACTCGCTGAGGAGGCCGCCGTCGGGTGACATCGCGCGTCAAGCCCTCGAGTGGAACCCAACAGAATGGGAAGCGGCGAGTGGGATGTCCAAGGGTGACATGGAGGAGATCGTGTGAAGAGGAGTTGAAGCAGTATGGACTAACATGGATGCAGGTGAAAAGTACTTCAGAAGGAAGACAGAAGCAAGTGTAGACGTGCAGCTGAAGCCCTATGTCCCACTAGGAACCCAAGGGAACAATAATAATAATATTGTGAATATGCACGATTGTTGCCAGCAGCATATTTCATCTCAACCTTGAGGATTTGTAATACCTGAAGAATCATCCTGAAGAATTTGAATTCAGTTCACTGGAAAGATCAAGGATTTAAGAAATTGCTTTGAAATCCATTGTGAGAAATTTATTAAAAAGAATGTTTTCTGAACAAAAAATATTGTTTTCGATGACCCCTTCATCATCAGGCTCTACAGTTATATATACATAGTAGTGAATGAATGAATTAGTGTTATGAAAAACATTAATGTGGTTTGAATAACATCGAACCAATAATAATAATAATAATAATCAATGGATTTCAGTTCGATGGCATAAACATAACAATAAACTGAATGTCAGAAAAGTTAGGAAAGATAATAATACAAATTCATAAATTTACAGTCTCTACTGAAGGCCACCCAGGGCAGTAGTAGTGGCTGGCTGTACTTCCTTTTTCCACACACAAAGTAGCGGTTGTTTCAGGCGAATCCCGATAGCTTCTGGTGTTTTGAGCATGTGGTACCTCGATGTTTTTGACAATTTATTTGGTACCTGGTAGATGATAGAGAAGGACTCTTCAGTGTTGGCTTTGTAGCCGCTTTGGACCAGATATTCGAATATCGAAGGTTTTTACTACACCTTTACTAAGCCATAATGGGGGATGTTCCCTTAGAGAGCACGAAAAATCAAGTTATTAGAGCAACGGCCAATATAACTTGCTCCAGCGCAAGCGCCGTTGAATTGGTAGGTACCATTCTCCGTGCATCCTGGGAGGAAATTTGAAAGTGGTCACTACCTTGACTTATCTAGGAAGCCTCATCTCAGCTACAGGTCGAAAGAATGCGGATATCGATATCGAAATCGGAAAAGCGACGCAGACCGTCATCACTATGAAATCGATTTGGAATCATCCGCTTTATTTAATCATTCCTTCTAAATGGGTTAGAAACATGGCTGATGCGTCGGGAAAGACATTTCCAGATGGCTACCGCAGATTTTTATAATCAGCTGCCTTCCCTGCCTACTGAGTTGCACATATGCTGAGCAGACCGTAGAATGATATTGCACGCAATGGAGGCCATTACTAAAGTGGAACCCAAATGCGAGACAACGAGTTACGTCTAGGTTTGAGAATGATTATGGTAGGGATCATATCAACAGGAGTTGAAAGGTTACGGGTAATTGTGAAGCCAGCTAAACAGGACTGCAGAGAACTCCGCAAAATGGAGATAGGCTGTTGAAGATGTATGTTCCACTTGGAACCCAAGGGAATGATAACTAGTCTTTACACTAATATACCAATCAATATGGCTGCCTTAGAAGCAGTTAAAAAAGAACTAACTGCAGATCCTGAACTCACTCATAAGACAAAGCTGCCCATGAAGAAATTATTTTAGTAATTCAGTTATGCCTCACATCTACTATCTTTAAATTCCAAGGTAAAATATATAGACAAAGAGAAGGTGTAACAATGGGATGGATCACAAATATCCCCTATCGTAGCAGATATGGCTATGGACAGCTGGAAAAATGTTGCCCTTAATACATTTAATCCTAATCCAAAAATATGGTGGAGATATGAGGGTGACACCTTCACAGTGTTAAAAACAGAACATATCTCTAGCTTCTTGACACATATTAACTCACAAGTGAAGGTTATAAAATTCACATTTGAATCGAAAAATGAACAAGGAGAATTAGCTATGGTGTTAGATTGTAAAATAAAACGAATAGAAGAAGGTAAACTGCACACTAGTGTTTATAGAAAGCCAACACATTCTAATAGATATTTAGACTTTAATTCGTCTCATCCTTTAACTGTTAAGGCAGGCTTAGTTAAGTGTTTAACAAACCGAGCAATGGCACTAAGTAGCACAAAAAAGACCTAAATGATGAAATGAAACAGATAGAAGAAGACGCGTTGGTGTTGAATAACTATCCTTTGAAATTCATTAAGAAGATCGAAAAAGGCCAAAAGCAAAATAAAAATAATTGTGGAACTAGTAATGATAACATAAATAAGAGAGAATATAAGTCATCTACTGTTACACCATATAAGAAGAGGAAATCTGAGACCCCACGTAGGATTCTTAATAAAACAGGAATTAGGGTGGCATTCATACCGACAGACTCACTCAGAGACAAGCTCTATAGGCTAAAAGATCCAGTGGACCCAATTAAACAAAGTAATATAATTTACAAAATACCTTCCAATGACTACCAGTGAGGTCAACTACATAGGTCAAACTTGTAGATCGGTGGTAGTCAGATTGTCGGAACATAAGAATTTAGCTAAAGTAAGAACGGTTGATCCCGAAAAGATAAGTAATTTAAAAAAAACTCAGCGATAGCACTGCATGCATTACCATACAACCACACTATAGAGTGGGTGGGAGAGGGTTAAAATTCTACAAAGTAATATAGGTAGGTGGAGCGCTAGAGAGATTGATTACTGAATCCTGCCTGGTTCACTAAGTCTACACCCAACGCATGTAACAGAAATGACTCAATGCAAATACCAGAGATATGTATGGAAGATATTATTACCACCAGACAGTCAGTCAGTCAAATCACAGGAGGATAATAAATAATCTCAAATTGTATTCTATTTCAATTCAATTCACGCACATCACAACATTCTAACAAGTTACTTATTTATTTCGACTATAAAAACACTCGTCTTACTTCCCATCTGATTGTATTTGATTGATAACACTAAGATTATTTCTGAATGTACTTAATCATCTTATATTGATTTTATTCGATCAAATGTCTAATCATCAATTTTACTGATGTATATGAATGAAGCGAGAAAGTTGTGTGAGTGAGTGACTTGATATGATTATGAGTGACAATAATTTGTGCTCGAAATGTGGTCATATCAGTTAATATTACTGTATAACAACACTGTGTAATTTATCAAAATAAAGTCTTATCCTTAATGGAGTTATGCTCTACCACCACATTGCCCAAAGTTTATACTTATATTATATAGGAATAATAATAATTTAGTATGGTAAATTAGCAACTCAATAAAGTATATCTTATACACAAATAAACCTACCAGGATAAGTTGACCAAATATTTGAATAAGAATTTCCATATTCGTGAATATAATTGAAATGAGGTTTCTGTAAATTGAAAGTAAGCAGAGCAGTCATCATAGCAGTAATTCACGAGAGAGAGAGAGGGGGGGAGGGAGGAGGGAGAAATTAAACTTTTGATTTCTATGAGAAAAAGTAACGATTTCAGATGATGAAATATTGTGGAGGCCAAAATGCATCAAATTACACGTTCACGGTAAAATAGTGAAAATAATAAATTCACAGCAATAGGGATGGAGAAAATGGTTTATTTACTGCTAGTGCAGAGAAGGTTTGTTAGTTCATGCCTGACACTATTTTCATCACATAAAGTACATGCCGTCAAATATGGTGTCGTGGAATTTTTATACTTAGACGTGCGTGCATAAAGTCTTTTGAAATGGCTTTTTGTTTTATCTGAGGAGAGGCAAGATGAAAACTGCGCGTGCTGCGGTGGTTGCTCACAGTTTGACAAAATTCCTTTAGCAAATCTGTTGCATGAAATCAAGTGCCTATCATCAATGACGATGTCAACAATATGGCCCAATGGGATACCACCATTCGTCCTATTGGCATTCAGTCTTCAGAGTTCCACGAAGTATGACATAGTCTTTCTTAAAACAACCCAGGAAAGAATAAGGCTGGGAAGTAGAGAAGTATAGGTAAGATGCAAGAGTTGACAAACTGTAAGATGAGGAAGGGTTGAGCTACGCTTGACTGCCTTAAATTCCTAATGTAAAAGATCAGACGAAATATTCTTTGAGAAATCGCTAAGACATCGGAAGACCAGGATAGATGAGAAGAAAGAATTAATCCAAGATACTTGATATCAGACTTGATTTCTGTATTAGTATCATCAGTCTTACGACGGTCATAGGAATGATGAACAGCTTCACTTAACTTTCTTTTATATCGGAAAGTGAAATTAACAGTCTGACATTTGGAAGGATTTGACGAAGACCATCTGCTTAATGAATTTGAAGAAATCAATCACCTCGATAGAAACACATATAGCATGCTAAAAGTAGATTCATTTTATCTCATCGGTTAGTGTCTCTTGTCAGCCAACGGCTTACAAAATGAATAATGAAATTTGTAAAAATTACATCTGTAAAAGTCTCCTCTTCAGGTTCTTACAATTATAAAATATAACGTATTTATTGTTGTCGTTACAATAATAATAGCCAATTAGGTATGCGGCGGATACATTTTATTGACGTAGATTAACAGATTAGTTATGAGGTGTCAAAATTAATAGTCGTATTTGTGTGGCAAATGTGCCCTGGGCTGAAATCGATTACAAAATATTTCGAGGAAATTGGAGACAATGATGCTGGTGATTAGTCGTCATAATAGATTCGTAGAATGTGGGGTAGGAAAAATTGACAAATAAGTCAGTTCAAGGTTATAAAATGTGTCAGGTGAGTGAGTGGCCAGTACAAAGTGGTATGTGTATTGAGGAGGGGCAGAAAGTAAGACTGCAATGAGAGAGGTTCATAATGAAATAACCAATGTGTGAAATGAAACAGGTGGAGGAAGGTATATATAGAGAGAAGAGATAATATCACTAATAACGAATAAGTCCGGATAGTATAAATGAAAAATTCGATAGTATAAGAGAATGTTTGTATGAAGTCATAAATTATGACGAATAATAATAATAATTGTAATAATAAGCAAAGGGAAAAAACCAAGAAGGTTAAGAGGAAGAAACATTCTTGGTGAGAAGAAAAAATCTTCAATTCAAGTTTGACCACGATAGGATTAGAGTCTGGACGTATTCTTTTTGGATACAAAGTTCCGGTTTAGTCGATCTTATTGCAACAGCTTAAGCTGTGCGCAGCAGACGTAAAAATGTATCCGCCGGATAACTAACTGGCTATCATTCTTGTATCACTCCCAAACTTCGCTAAGTCAGTATTAAGACTGCTAAAGAGAGAAGGTTGAGCATGAGGCTAGCAATTAATCGAAATTAACATAACAGAGGTTTATATATAAAAGGGGGACATCACTTGTTTTTAAAAAGGTTGTCCAATCATGAGTCATAAAACAAATATCAGCAAGTATAATAAACAAAATTGTATGAGCTGTGATCAAAATTTGACCTCGGGCTTACAAATATTGATCTACGTTTGTTAAACACTTTAAACAGAGTGTGTTTGTGTGTCTGGGTTAATAGTGGTATAACATTTGTTACGTCTCCATAAGAAGATGCAGACAGTTGGGGATTTTGACCAAGTATTATTAATTAATTAGTGATACATATCCATTTTATTTATTTATTAATCAGGATTTCCTATGCATCATCTAACAAGATCACACCTTCATGTCCATTCAAACTGTTAGTATCTAGAATTTTATGATTAGATGTCTTTTCAAAATTATGGTGTTTAGGATTAGAGTTTAGTTGAATTACACCCTGTCAAAATTATTACTTTGTCTTCTTTCTGAAGATTAAGCTGCTTTATTCGACCTACTGAAGTTGTCAGGTGACTGGACAGTTACGGATTTAGGATATGCATTCTGTTGCCGCCAACGGAGAGTGGAAACACGATGATTGTGCCAATTAGCATAGTTTCTTTGTTAATTTAATTCGATTGCAAAATAATTCATCAAACGAACTGTCATCAAGATTTGACAGAATAGTTCTAAAATATAATTGGGCGCCGAGTGAGAAGTAGACATTTGCAAAAAATTATATTTGTAAAATCTCAGCGATATTGAAATGAGTAATTCCAACGTTTCCTACATTCGGAAATCTGGTCCGAACTTCTTCAGGAAAAAATTAATCGAAATCAACATAACAGAAGTTTATGTGTAATAAAAATGACATCTCGTGTTTTTAAAAACTTTGTCCAATCATATGAGTCATGAAACAGGCATCAACATGTATAATAAACAAAATTGTATGAACTATGATCAAAATTTGACCTCAGAATTACAAATATTAGTCTACAGAGTGTAGTTTTCATCAGAATGTTAGCAATTACGTCTGACTAAAAGTTCACGGTCGTAGATAACTAAATATGAAAATATTTGTGTATATGCAATGTATACAATGTATATACAATGGTGTGTGTGTATATGTGTGCGTGGGTAAACAGTTGTATAACATTTGTTACCCTGTCCACATGAAGATATAGACAATTGGGAATTTTAACCAAGTACGATTTATTATCAATACATATCCGTTTTTATTTGTTAATCAAGATTTGCCATGCATCAGCTAACAAGATCACACCTTCACGTCTGTTCAAACTGTTGGGATTCACCCATATATGTAGGGCTTCTGCAGTCAGTCATTCTTTATACGAACCAAAACCTTTCTGTAGAACCTTCCTCCTATGAAAGTCGATCTTGTGTCCCGTTTCTATCGAATACAGTGGAATCGCTGATCTGTTTTCTAGCTAATTTAAGTCTGTGGAGGTCTTTGGAACCACCTTCATACATTGTTAATGATCTTTGACTCTTATATTGGCTTGTCTGAAAGTTTCTCCTACAATTGATCTCGTACACACAATTCTGTTGGTTTTCTTTTTCTATCCTTTTTATTTATTTATTTATTTTTTTGATTTGCAGCTTGATTCCACACTGTATTTTTGGTACAAGGATGGAATTTTCAGCATGGATATCAGTAGCCCAATTTTTTGCAGGCCGACCATAGATATCAGATGTGCGTCGGTACGGGATCGAACCTCGGACTATGTGCATGGTCGGTGAGAGTCTAACCACTGTGCCACCGACGCAACATTTGTTAACCTCTCCATAAGAAAATATAGACAGTTGAGAATTCAGACCAAGTATGATCGATCAGTGTGATACATATCCATTTTCATTTATCAATCAGGACTTGCCATACATCAACTAACATCACACCTTCACGTTTCTTCAAAATGTTGCGATTCATCCATAAATACAAAGCTTCTAAAGTCAGTCTTTCTTTATATACTAACCAGAACATTTCTGTAAAACTTTAGTCGAATCAAAGTCAATTGTGTGTTCCATTCCCATCGAATGTAGTTATGTTAATTGTGAATAATTTCCATTAAGAAGTTCAGACCAGATTGCAGAACATAGGACACGTTGAAATTAATCACTTTAATTTTGATGAGTTTTTACACACATGTAATTTTTACAAATATCTACTTCTCCCTCGGCGCCCAATTATATTTTGTAACTTTTCGGCTAAATCTTGATCACAATTCATATGAATTAATTCCATCACTGATTAAACGTTAAGCTTCATTTGTCTGATATCTAACTGTACGTCAGTTGCCTAACCAGACCGATACTGATACAGTGCACCAAGGATGACCACATCAATGTCTGTATACACATTTAACTACTCCTGTGGAGCTAGTCATTATAGGTCATATTCAGAGGAATTAATATTCATGAGAACATATTCCAGTTTGGCTTAGAAAAAGAGTAAACAAATCAATAAATAGTGCCAATTTCATCTCATCTACTGGATAGTGAACATCACATTAAAATAAATTGCGTCATTTACGGTTGATGTATCGAGTACCAAACAGTCCGCCTAGAGATACACGACTACGTCTCCTAGACATAGCTGTTACTAGAATTTGTTAGTATTCGACTACTTTATTTTTTTCATTGCATTTGTTATTTGTCAACTTTCAAACTTAAATCCAATGTGCCTCATTTGTTTGTTTGTTTGTTTGTTCGTGTTTCTTGTGCTAATCACATTTCTCTCATATCACTGAATATATCTGAACCCTTCTCCTACCACGTGAAACTTACATTTTGTTGATTATAAGTGTAACAACAGAAGACAAGGGCCAGGCAACAGATCGTTTTATTATGAAAATCAACACGTATTTATACATATTTCACATACATTATTATAGCTTATGCAAGTAGACAAGCGCAGTTATCTGATTGGTCGTTTATCAGAAGTTAGGCAGACAAACGCAGGCTTCTGATTGGTTGTTTCGGGATTCCTCGACAAATAGAGTTCTCTATCTGCGAATCATATTTTGCCACGTTAACTTTGCTGTGATTGGTTGTTGACTCAGCCTTGTTCA